GCGGACGCCCAAAGTGATTTCCATTAATTATTCCTTCACACAACATGAGGCGATCGGAGTCCCCGTCACTCGTTCGTTGATTACGTCCATTTGGTAGACTGTATTATTAGTTTAAAGCGTTTATGTTAGTTTACCAGGGTTTGCTTGATCCAAAAACTTGTATAGGATATACTCTACTGTACATTTGAACTCTCGCATGATGTTCAAGTTTATACTCCAAAGAACGCGATATCTTCAAAATTTTGTTGAAAATTGATTTTAAACAGTAAATGAAGGGTTCGTAAGCAAGAAATCAATTTTATTGTCAACGTAGTAGATTCGATAATTGTAGGTAAGTCTCGTCTTAACGATTTTGCAAATAACCAAGGGCCTGTTTCTTTTGGTTTTTTAGCAATATTTAGATTAAATGATTGAATATTAGATAAAATTTTTGTATAGCGTGTGAACCCCTCCTGCTTAAATCACTAGCATGCATACGTCTTCGCATGTCAGCGAGTATATCGCTCTTGCTTTCTTGCTGAATACGTTCCTATTCCGCTAACATCGCGTTTTTCTTTCTCTGATGCTATGCAGAGGCAGCTGTACTTATTTCACCCATCACTTCAGACGGACTAAGACATTGGGTAAACCTCATATATTATGTCTTATATCTGATATTTGTATATACAAGAGTATGTACTTTTATCAGATATGGGACAGACAATTATAATCTATTTTTTGATCTTATCGTTTTGTTTTATAAACTTTATTGTGATGTATTGAGTTTTAATGTAGATTATGAATCAGAAATTACAACTTCCTTTGTGCATCTGTGTTCAGTTGGTGTGCCAAATGCATATTAGTTTTACTCCGTAAGATCTATCAAACATTATATTCTTACCTAAAACATAACTGAGCTTTCACCATAACCTGTGATTTTTTCAAAACATAGCTTTGCCAAGCGTTCTGCTAGTTTCCGTATCACTCACCGATTTCATTCTTCAACTTACAGATATTTTCAGGCTGCATCGAAGAACAATGCTCTCCTGAAGTATTTACACATAATTTCAATCGATTTGAAACGCAGCACGCCTGTTCTCGCCGTTTACTCGGAACGCAATAAGCGCTTCTTATTGGCTCATTACCTAACGAACTGCAAATGTCCGGTTGTTAATAGGCAGTTTTTGATGTAAAATGCTACAGTACTGTGGTAGGGCCACGCAACAGCTTCGGCTGTTGCACGAATGGGCAGGGTAAGTACCAAGACTTCACAGAAGACCTGCGTGAAATGGCAGTTTATACTCCTGCGTTTTGTCTGGTATGTGCGCCACTCTATTAAATAGTGGCAACGCATCTGCAATTGGGTGTTGCATATCAATGGGTGGTTATCGCTTAAAATCAGGTAATCCACCAGGACATTTGCCACCTAGTTACATAAAAACTAGGAGTGCAAGAATAAATAATAAGGAGAAAATATATACTTGAAAAGTGTCAGACACGTACTAGAAAATATCACCACTGCCTACCCCCTGGGGACGTGGCGTGAACCGCACGTCATTCAATTAACAGCCGTCGTTTTGCGAGGCGCTTTGCCCCATAGGGACGGGGGAGCGAATGCGTCCTCAATAATTGATTGCTTATGAAAACGACCTAGAATAATTGACAAGTTCGTTATGCTGGCAAATAAGCGTTTCATCGGACGATGGTATAGCGTCAAACTAATAGTCAATAGCTGCAATATCATGTTATGTAACATACACATTATAAAACGAAAATATATCTACGGGCATCATTGCATTTTTTTCAAATGTAGACATCACATTATGCAACATACACTTTATCAAAGAAAAATATATTTACTTTACTGCTTTAAATTTAAATTGTGTTGCAGTTGCCGAGGTATTGGCTTCGATGTCGGCGGTCTTGGGTTCGATTCCCACACGTGACAACTATTTGTGTGACCCACTGATATTCGTTTCGCATCTGGGTGTTTGTACACATGAAATTTATGTTTGTAAAACGTCCTTAAAACACAGGATAATGTCGCCCTAAAGTAAGGGCAATGTTTTTTTAAAGAAAAAAACATCTAGATGCAACGTTGCGTCATTTAATGACAGCATAATGCCAACCTTTGCAAATTGTATTTTTTTTTAAACTGCTCTTAACTTTCTTAAACCACTAACGAACACTCGTGCAAGTTTGGGAGTAAAGGGTCGCGTTAAATGTCTGATAACACGACAAGTGATGAGCCTATCAGCGTAGGGAGCTCCAGGGTTTAAGTGAAAAATTCGAGAACTTCAGACTTGAAGAAATATTTATGTTTTCAATTCGATTTGATCTCTTTTTGTTTTTATTGAGTCTGTTTAGATCCTTATATTATATTTCTTATAAATATGTAAGTCAATTCACGAATAATTTACTTTATTTTAATAATATGAAAATATTCCACTAGCATTTAGTAAAATTTGCCCAAATTAACCCCATTACTAGAATGTGTTACTTGTACAACAAACTTACAACCATTGTTTAATCAATAGATACATTCCATGAGTGCATTCAATCAAAGTATTCGAGGCACATAAAGTTTTTATTTTTCTTACTTTTATATTTAGTTACCTTTCAATGGTTTTTCAATGACCTTGTCTTTTTCAAAATTTATAAATTAATATTGCTTAATGTATCATTAAGCAATATTAATTTATAAATTGGAAGCATGAAGTGTACATATATTTTTGGCGGACAATATGTATACGTTGCCCCTATTTAGTTTATAGGCTTTTAACTTTACTGTTCAGTCCAACTTCACCGGTGATAACCCTGTCACCGCTACGCTTGCAAACGTGAGTGTGCAAGTAAGAAATCGGAAAAACGCAAATGTCATTGGTGCACGCCATAGGAATTCCAATCCACGACAATAGATTGCGTGGCAACGCACCGTTATCATTCAGAATTGGAATAGCTATAAAACGATAACGATAAATGAAACTGAAACTTTTTGCACCACTTTATTACCTTGTGTAATTTCAATAGATCACTATGAGTACAGCACTGTAGTAATACTACATGTATTAGATTCATGCAATCTCACACACGTCAAAGAAAATCTGCAAATAAAAGGTAAACACAAATGATTGTAAGTGCCAAGACCACAAGACAATAGTGCAACTTCATAAATGTGTGGGTAATAATTTCCTAATTTAATTACCTTTACAATAAATATACATTATAGCGTGAAATATTTTCGCTAAGTAAAAAGTAAGTGCGTAAAACACAAGGAATTTTGTAACATTTCAAATGTACACATGCATATTATATTAAAGAACGCGTATAAACATATAATACTTATTAAATGTAATTAATATAATTATTATAATTATATTAAGCGTATTAACACGACTCACACCGTATTTATGTCGATACTTAATGCGACTGATGTGTCACGCTCTCTCATGTAGAGCCTATACACACGCGGCCGGCAGTGCACTAAATTTTTTGCGTTGCACTGACATATGGACAGACTAACTGTCCCCGAACGAATATAGCAGTGACACTTTGACTATATCTATCTCGTTTCCTCAGTCGACTAAAGCCGACTTTACCCGCACGACGGTTACATAGCCAAGCGTTACGGCTCAGTATCATAATATCTTTTTTTTATGCGAAAAGTTGACAAGCGAGCAGACGGTTCACCTGATGTTAAGTTAATACCGCCGCCCATGGACATCTGCTACACCCGCGGGTTACAGATGCGTTGACAACCTTTTGAAAATTGGGCTCTGGCCATCTCACTCACCAGACGAAACGCTAAAGTACTATACTTCCACTTGACGCCGGTCTTCTGTGAGGTCGTGGTACTTTCCCGGACGAGTTTGCCCATTCGTGCAACAGCTAAGGCTGTTGCATGGCCCTACCACCGAAGAACATATCATTCAATACCCACAAAATATAGTGCTCAGCCCGCCTAGAGTTTTCACTTTCTTACTTATTATTTCATACATTATTGTTTGCCTATACACATAATTAGTTAAGGAAACTCCTTTGGTGTAGTGGGCCATGAAACAGACTGTTTAATGACTTCACAGGCTCTTCATTCCCCTGAAGTTTTTATCTTTAAAATATATCTGTTCTTTGCAGATGGGGCCTACTTTTTAACCGACTTCAAAAGTAGGAGGTTCTCAATTCGGCTGTTTTTTTATGTTTGTTACCTCATAAGTTTTGACGGAGTGAACGGATTTTGATGATTCTTTTTTATTTGAAAGCTGGTGCTTCCCATGTGATCCCATATCAACTTGTTTAGTATTGGATCTTGGGTTCGGGATATACGTTGGGAACCCCAGAAAATCAATTATAAAATGAATACAAAGCGTGGTATTTTAAGTAGGTTTTGTTTTTCGTTAGTAAAACAATGGTAAAAAAAATGTAAAATCATCTGGTTACGCCACTGTGACGTCTACAGATGGCGATAATTACTTAACTACCAACCAAACTTTAGCATAAAAAATTGACCCAAATAACACAAAATTACACTATTCAGTGCTTAGAAGAGCGACTTTTTCATTCCGGTTCCAAACAACATATACAACAAAAGTCGCGCCCGTTGAGGCGACAAGTGGAACAGGCGCCATTAACAATGTACGAGATTACGTCTCGCCTGGAAGGTGATGACGTGGCCTTGAAAATATTGAACCTTGTGCCGTGGACATAAGAGCGAAGAAATTCAAAACTTGTATCCGCTAGTAGAGGCCTATTAACGTCCCTTTCGCGTAGTCTTGTTCAGGTAGACGATCCGTGTTTAAGGTTTTTTCAATTAAACCGTTCACACTAAACATTGCTGGTCAAACGAACTTTCTTAGCTAAAGTATATTGAAAGAGCTTTGTCAGTTTTTACTTCATTTGCATATTGAATCCTTACATCTTAAAGCGAATTTTTCGCGTGTAATTTTATTGTAATTGTGTTGTAATTTGCAGGTATGTTATAGTGACTAACAGATCCTACTCGGAGACGGGCCACCGACACGTGCATGCGCCTCGTCACGTCCCTCCAAAGAAAAGCGGTGATCCCCTACCAGAAACGGGTACTAAGGAGTCATGAGCGATTGGGGTGAGTCCCTTAATTGCCTTGTAAACTCCCTAAAGGAGGTAGCTTTAAGCAATCTCCACCGCAAGGATTCTATGGCCAGCATAATGCCGGGGCTATCATAGGCAAGGGTAGTGTTCCGAATAGAGATCTCTCCTCATCAGAGCATATGGCGACCACCTTAGGGCTTTAGACGGTGTAAGTCCGACATTACTTGGTCCTTCTCTATCCGTATAGCCAGGTATCCATAACGAAGAGGTTATAGTGAACAGACAAGACACATACCAGAATACGTCTGTATAGAGAAACTGAATATCTCCCACTAACTCCAACAAGTAACGTACATATTATTTATTTATTTAAGCTTCATTGCTACACCTTAAGCTAAGGGCTATAATGGGCGGTCTTAGTGCCTAATGGCATTCTCTAACCTTTATATATATGTTACTTTAACTGCAAGTAAAATGCATTTTTACGGATCAATACTGGGCCTATATTGGTAAACGACAGTTTATTTTTGTACTATCAAAAACATTAAAGAAGAGTAATTACTTACGAGTAGACATATATTGTTCAATACACGTGTATGGCCTCAGAACATAATTACGGATCTATCCACAACGCGACCTTAATGCGGATTTACGTGTATCACATACCTTTGAAATATTTTACGTCGTTTCTCAGATAATCTAGTTATATAAAGATGTTTTTTTGCACTGACGAGCATGTGTTATGTAAATGATGAAATTAGAACAGCAATTGATAATTTCATTAGTTCCTGTGGGATTTAAACTCAACTCAATCGAATATACTGAATTGAAGGCTTTAGGCCGAAGCGGGGGAGGGATACTGAGCTATCACGGTTCTACAACACTTCATCGTAATTTACAAACGTTCGAAATAGGTTATCAATTAATAGGGTTAAAATTAATATTAACTGTTTAGCTTCGCGATACGGTTCACAGATCCCTAAAGTATCGACCGTCATCGCAGTATCTTTTAGTACCCATCGCCTTTTCATATGAAATATTCCCTTTTAGCGGCATTAGGTTTTTCATTAGCGCTTTAACACCGCACGCCCGTACATTACAGTGGAATTTACGTTTGAATACACGAACACGCCCCTATCAGCGGAAAGGGAAGGCATAAAGAGTGAACTTACCCCCGATAACAAAATAACGCGACCAAATAATAGGTCGGTGATGTCGCATTATGTACTTTGTAGTAGAGCTATTATGTTGAATAGCTGTATTATCAATGTATTCATATGATATGGGATGAGAAACGTCGATAGATAAAAACGGTCAAGTGCGAGTAGGACTCGCGCACGAACGGTTACGTATCATTATCTATAAAACCAGCAAAAAAAATCATGTCTGTTGTATGGGACCCGACTTAAAAATAATAAAATTTTTATTTTTTCATTTTTAGTATTTGCTATTTTGTATTTCAACTGTCTAATAAATCTATAAAGGTTCATGATAAGGGGTAACAGAAATACAGAAAGAGACAACGGAGTCATCTGTTCCCGTTTCAACTTTGTAAATGGAAGCCTTAAATCTATAAATCGCTTTTGCATGAAATACAGCCATGGATAAAAGAATGATTGCTTCTTAGTTCATAGTTCATAAGAAATGCAAATGTCTGTTCGACATCGAGACAAGACAACGGAGTCTTAATAATACGGTCCCAACACGATGTTTATGTGTATTGGGTCATCATGAGGCTCCTTACTACGTGGTAGACTGACGCTCGGTTTCTGAAACACTGATCATCGTAGAGATTAACGATTTAGCCTGTCAAATGCCTTTTCAAATGTTTTTTGATTTGCCATAAGGATGGTTAAACTCTTTGAATTGATCATTTTGATTATTAATAGGATCATTCTTATCTAACATCGTCATTATAATCTGAAAGACATCCACTCCAAAGACGAACAAAGACTTTGCCATTTGCGTCCACTTGTTTTCCGTCACTCTTTCGATGTCGTTATCACATTGTCGTCGATGTCGTCAGGTTCACTAACCTGTCAATCACTATTGCTACTCACTAGAACTTTTCTCCTGAACAGTTCGTCGAGCTACACGTTCAGTCTATTGCCACTTAAATTACCCTGAGAGCTATCCGCAGACTGTTCCTCGGTCCAAATTTCTTCTTTCCGGACATAGCTCCCCCCATAGCTCATCACGAGCCTCTGTGGCTTACTTCTGTAAGGCCATCTATTAAAAACCAAGTCTATAATGGTTAAACCCTTGTCTTTAGACACTGCGTAAGAATTCCCTAGGTTGTCCAACGAGAACGCTAGTCAGGTCGCTGAGAATTGCGGCTCAAGCGACTCTGTTGAGTACGCTGTCGGCAAAACAAAGCAAAGCATCCGCCATTTTCCGATGGCGAAACCGTATCAATAGCTTGAAAGCTTCTTTTGAAGCAGTTGTGAACTATTGATAAATATTCCGAACAGTACGTCTCGTTTTTCAAGCTAGAAAAAAATTTAAATCGATAGAGAAATGTTAATAATTAAATATTACATACGGGAAAACCAAGGCAAACACTTACTTTTAATAAAAAAAATTATTTAAAACTTGTTATTTTCACTAAATAAATCCGCCATTTCGTGTTTGACAACATGTATAAATTTAAGAATTCACTCACTTTTCCAAATTATAACCTTCGCATTATTAAAAAAGAGTCTTTAAAAATACTAAAAGTACTGTTACACAAAAGTTTTCTGGGTGGTCATAAAAAAAAACCTAACATCGAAGGCTAAGGCGGGAGCTTTGCTCTAACCTAACCTATCCGAGTCGGATCGCTCTGTGTCGGATCTGTGACTAATTTTGAACCTAATATTCGAGACATTAAGTGTACCCTAAGTCACAAATTTTAAATATTAGAAATTGTTAATAATACATGTTCATGAAGTAGAAACTTGTGTTTTTGTGATATATCCGTGTATTTGTGTCTTCTTACAACGTAAAAAGTGAAAACGTAAGTTTTTAACTTAAAACAATAGTCTATAATGAATCCATTATTCATACTCAGTATTCATACGCACAGTAATAACGGATTTCAGTTGTATGAAATTTAAAAACTTTGTTAATTTTTTCTTCATAATCTAGTGGTTTTCATTGATTATAACTTATTTTTTATTTTTTTTATTTTATGCGAAAAGTTGTCAAACGAGTACACGGTTCACCTGATGTTAAGTGAATACCGCCACCCATGGACATCTGCCACACCCTGGGTTACAGATGCGTTGACAACCTTTTGAAAATTGGGCTCCGGCTACCTCACTCACCAGACGAAACGCGAAAGTATTTGTCACACTTCCACTTTACGCTGGTCTTCTGTAAGGTCGTGGTACTTACCCGGACGGGCCTGCCCATTCGTGCAACAGCCGAGGCTGCTGCGTGGCCCTACCACCGTTTAACTTATATAATATTTAATTATTAACATTTCTCTATCGATTAAAATTTTTTTCTAGCTTGAAAAACGAGACGTACTATTCGGAATATTAGCCTTTTTTATACACAAAATATGGATCGCAATAAATAATTCCGCAAATGTAAGTTAGGTTTTGCCACATAACTCTGTTATCGCGCAAACTCACACTTGATGGCTTCCTTTTCCTTCATCAGTCATCATCCCTCCCTTAAAAACGTGTGAAAATGATGTAATAATTTTTAAAACGACATGCTTCAATTTTAATTAACGAATTCTAAGATGACAATAAAAGACATGTTACGCATAACCAATTAATATTTTAAAATTCAACACCTATTTTATATTTTAATAAAAAAATATTTTCTGCGCAGAATATTTGAAATAAGTTATATATAAGTCCGAGAATTAATTACTTTAAACTTTTAATTTAATTTACACTTTTGAATTAATTACTTTAATTTGTATTTTCGAGCTTTGTATGTAGGATATATTTTCATCAAAACTTTCCACTCTTTTCTTCCTTCTTTTCCTAAGTGACTGCAAAATTCTTTATTTTTTTGTCTTTCTTATTTTTTGCCATAAATCTAAAAGAAAATGTATATTTTTAAAAATTATATATATAAAAAAACGTGTCACGGTGCCTTGATTTATGGTCAAAAGACTATAAAAAGCGCGCGTTAAAATTAAAATGGCGGCACAGAGTATGTAGGCAAGTTGTCAACGCCACCTCCGAACTGGGCGCGGGTGATTAATGGCCAGCGGTAAACTTGTCAGCGCCTGTATCGTTACGCAGCCGAAGAAATCTGCCTACTCATCTTACACATTGCAAATTGGCAACAACTTTGCTAAATTGGATCTCGCTTTTTACTATAATTGGGTAGAATTTTACACGTTTTACTTTCAGTAATTAAATTACAGTTGAGTATTTAGGAATGGAATCAAACCGATGCTAAATATGTTATACTTTATACATTATAAAATTTCGATTATATTTCTATTTAAAAGATAATCAGTCACAATTTTGCCTTTAGGTTCACTTGAAGAAATGAAGGAAGAAAAAACAAGAAACTACAAGAATGACTATCCCCCCTATTGGTACGTGCCTACATTACTTACGTAGGTAAACACATTACATTAAATAGTAAGTTTGGCGTATGACATGACAAGTAACTCAATAGTGACGGGACGCCGCCAGTCATATGCAAGAACACAATCTATAACAAATACGAAGTCACCCCGCGCGATACTTTGCCGCATATATGTATGTGATACCATTACGCGGGAAAAGGAAACTATAAACCATACGGGAGTTAGCGATAAGCCCTAATGTGGTATTGAGCTGTTAATGCCGCTATCGTGTGTGTAATGCAGATTTTAATGCACGCGACACTTGTATGCAGCTGGTTTTGGTAATGAATGGCATTTGTTATCTTTGTGGCGAAATTTACAGTAAGATAAATGGGACATGCTAGAACTCTCTATGCTAGTATAGGACGTTAGTCACTTCTATTTTTTATAGCGGTTTACACAGTTTATGGAACAACTCAGTTTTGTTTAAAACTTCGATTGTGTCGATGGATGTAGGTGGCGCGGGTCGTGCTTCGTAGCAATCTGTTAGGGAAGCATGTTGTCAGCAGTGGGATCCAACAGGCTGAAATTATGATAATGATAATGAAGTTAAAGAGTTAGTTAATAAGTAACGCATAACGCGAAGTCTGTATTCAGCTTAGCTGAAAATGGACTTAAACATTTCACTGCGTGACTAAAAAATAACGTACTCTCAGTAAACACAAGCAAATCAAAATTGTTAACTTTTAGTATTACAACCGGAAGTAAATATATATAATTGATTACCAACTTCTTTAACTGCTCGTAATTACTGCTTACCAATAAATTTACATAGGAATAATAATTGATGACAAACAAATTTGGGTATCAAAGATATCCTCCATTAGCTATAACATCAGAAAACTAATTTAATGCAACGATTATGCAAAAGTAAATTATTCTACGGATAGGTCGTTATGTATTTAGGATATTAGCTGATGTCCAGAAGTCTAGTGTTATGTTGATATAACGGTAATTTAGACAGTTCCCTACAAATGTAAAGACAAATCATAATATCGCTTTATCTTTAGATCAAAGAATTTGTTAATTACTTAGATGCGACCCAGATTTCAGCATTACAATTACAATACATTCAAAAGGAGAATTCGAGCGGAAGACTGTTAAAATTAAAATCTGCATCCAGGTTTCTAAATTAATGAAAGGGACGATTTATTACGTTATAGACTTATGGTATCATTCCTGGATCTTAAGTAATTTCAAGTCGTACAAAGGTGAATCAATGGTCGTTATTTCTTAATTGCTACATCATGCTGGTGTACCTATGAAAAATTTTAATTAACTGTTCAGAGCGATGTAGGATATTCTTAACAAAGGAAAGTTGCGGACAAAATATAATTTTCATTAATGCTGTACACAATGAAAGAGTATGTCATGATAAAGTAATCTATAGCTATATGCCACTACCGCAACAGTCGGTAACAAACAAGACAGGTAAAGTAAAAGTTAATTAAAGCGTGACCAACAAAACGCATATTAATCTACTTATGCGCTTTACAATTAAAATAAATACTTTTATTTGGAACAAAAGAATTTTCGTGATAAACGAATTAAGAATCGAATACGAAAAACTAGTTACTAATTTATTTTTAATCATACAAAAATTCATTTATATCATATTTATTTTTGAATTAAAATTAATAAAGACCGTTAAAAACAAAGGAACGCTGATTACCACACCGACAAAAACCTCAACGCCTTTTATTTATACTGTTTTCTTTTTAACCATCTATTGTTATATCTTCACATTCTATAACATCATACAAACATGATCCACATGTTGTGCCATCCCCAAGTAAGCGGAATAAGGTGTATAAGTGTTCATCGGTACATTTAGATTTTTACATATTTCAAAGTATGGAAAGTATGTCTGCTTTTTCTCAATTTAAGCATTGCTTGAAATCAATTAGCCGACAGCGACCTCTTGCACACAAAATTATATTCAGCAACATAAGGTCACGATAGAACTGACATCCGACTGAAATACTCTGTGTCTATGAAATAAATTAAAAAAAATAACTAACACCGGTCACTGTCAGGTGTCAAGCAGTGTAGCCAACGTAGGCTAATTTCGCCATTTAGGCTACTCAGGACGAGAATCAGCGATGAAAGAATCTGAATGGCGACTGGTCGCCTATTAGGCTACTTCTGAGCGCTTCAAGCTATTTAAATTAACAAAACCACAAATGTACATAATCTTTTAATAAAAAAAATATAGCCTCTCTTAGCTTTGTGGTATTAATAAAGAAAATATGCCCAACCTATTGGTTTATGGTTAGGGGGAATTTTGGCTTCTATATTACCAAATGTGCTATTAATGCCTAGCGCATTCAATTATAAAGCCCGATTTACACCGGTAAGTATTCAGAGCAGTAGATAAGTACAGTAAGTACAGCGGTGTAAACCATCGGACAGTACTTTTTAACGTGACTCGTCCGTTACAATTTGGAAATGCCACTGGATTTGCTGTATTGTAAACAACTACTTGTCCGGTGCCTACCACCGGTCACTGTACTTACACTCACTACAGGCCACTGTCAATGACCAATGTCAATTGGGCTTTACCAACAGTTCGGAAAATTATGTGATACGAATATGAGTAAATATGTGAAGTTTAGTGATTTTTCCCTATCGTTCATTTATGTTATTGCAATACGCGCCCCTCAATGTCCTTTACATTTACCAAAATGGCGACATCGACTTCAGATCAGGTCCTCCCTACATTGTTGGCAGCACTGGTGTCAAGTCAACTGTCAAACTAACCAAATGTCAACATTAAATGAATCAATAAATCAATAAGAAGAAACATCTAACTGTGTAAATATATAGGCGCATTCATTGAAAACCGCCAAAAAAGGAAAGAAAATGAAGAAATTAGTGAACCAAACATAGGTTATATTCGGTTAGGCAGTATATGTGAAGTAAGAACTGCGTCATTTTCAAGAGAATTCTAATTTAACTAAGTGCAACTCTTATCACGTACATTTATAATATATATTGGAGGTTTAAGCTATATAATACCCACATTGTTTCAGTTAAACATACCGACTCTAAATTTTTCATTTCCTAATGTTAACCGATTGTTATTTATCGAAAATTTATAATATATAAATTTGATAAAATACTAAATTCAAATTGGAAAATATGCCTCGTAAACCATGTTACTGGACTCGTAAACTAGAGTTAGATTTAGTAGAATTCGTGAGACAGAGAGACTTTATTTGGAAACCATATGGTAACACCAATCATCAAATTCAGCAGAAATATAAAGCTTATGCAGAGTTTGCTGCCAGGTTAGGCCGTGGTTATTCTGGTGAGTGTAGTTTAAATTTATAAAACACTTCTTCACTTCACCCGCCCCAACTTCTCACGGGTGCAATGTATTATATGTATAAAACTTCCTCTTTAATCACCCTATCTAGTTAAAAAAACGCATCAAGATCCGTTGCGAAGTTTTAATTATGTACGCATACATAGGGACAGGCAGACAGCTGGATGTCTTTCTTTTATACTATGGAGTAATTTTATGTTGTTTCACTTGTAACAATGATTTATTTCAATTTTCTGGCAGTCTGAGGCAACTTAAATATTTGCCCTTCAACTTGTTAACAAAATCCTCTAATACTATTAATGCTAAAGTTAAAAATTATTTTACTAAGTAACAAAAAGATAAACTATTAGTAAGATCCAGACAGCATTAAACATTGCCATCATGTCAATATCAAAACTTGTTTTACAATTTAAAATATTTAATTTCTCTAGCACAAATTCAGTAGAAAGAATCTTTTCATTAATGAACCTTTTCATTAACTGAAAAGACCCAGATACAGGTTTTGGTCCTTATGTCAAACTTGATTACTAAGATGAATATTTAAAAAATGTTCTGAAAATATTATTTTCACTTAAAATATTCACAGACCGAGTTGATGTTACAAAGTTTTTATAATTTACCATTCATAACATATTTAATCTGTGACAAATATTTAAATTGTAAGAGTTAAAGATAGTAAAATATGTTTTCAATATATACTAATTTGCATAAAAAATTTTGCTCCTTTTGAGTAAAAAAAAGTCACAAATGGCAAATATCTATCAAATTTGTGTAAGATTATTTAATTTAACCAATATTTGTTTGTCATGGTGTTAGCAGTAGTAAGATTATCTGCAAAAATCTAAGTTTTACTGTATAGGCTTCTTGTTGGACTATGAAGACGAAAATTTTGTTTAAATGAATGTAAATACCCAATAAAATGTACATATCAAGTTAGGAGTTTGAGTAAATAATGAAAGTATTCTTTAATGTGATGTGAATTTGCACTTAAATGCTATCAAATGCATGAAACCATCTTCTTATTTTAATTATCACACACAAACACTTTACATTGTATTTATGTGGGTATCAAATTTGTTATAATAATACTATTCTCTGTACTGATTTGAGTGTATTTTTACCATATGAATAGTATAAAAGGTAGATCCTTGTATACTACTCTTTAGTTCTGGAATGAAAACACCGTTACTTTACCTTTGTATAAAATTCATTTTTCATTTTATTTCATAAAATTCATTTTATAAAATTCATTTCACATTTCATGAATTCGTTGTCTTTGTCAAGCATGCTGTGATTGGTTTCTTGAGTGAGATTTGTTGACACTTATACTTTAAAGTTACTGCTTTAATTATGCTATTCTTTATACACCATTTGTAATGTGTGAGAAAGTAATGATGAATAAACATGTGAATGTGTGTCACTAGAACACTTTTGACCAATGATTTTGTAAGCATTGAACAAAAGTGCACATCTATAGTATAAAATATCACTTCAATGAGTATCTAATGTCAAAATTTTAATAAAAAAAATCATCAACACTGAAACTCCCATTCATATACATCATATACATTTCTAAAACTGTCAGTAGAAAGTCTGTGTGTCTGTCTGTCCAATCCTTCTGTCTGTCTGTCTGTCACCAGACTATCTCATGAACCTTGATACTTAAACAGTCACAGATGATGTATTTCTGTTGCCGCTACAACAACAAATACTGAAAAACAGAATATTTAAGTGGAGCTACCATACAACAGACAAGATTTTTTGTCGTTTTCATAGACAATGATACGGAACCCTTTGTGCGCGAGGTCGGTTCGCACTTGGCGGGTTTTTTATTCAGATGGATTGTTTACTGTTGGCATTTAGGAGGCCTTTGCAGATCCCAATGGCTTGAGGTGGCCGGGCGCTCAGGGCGACTAGCTGAGGCTCGCGTAGGACCCTCGATAATTATTAGTACCGGTTTGGGAGGCTGGCAAGCTCTTGGATCGTTTTGACGGACGCTCCATGGAGTAACTAGGCTCAAAGGCCCCCCGATCCTTTTTATCTTGTAAATACCACATTTAATTGAAATGTCGTATACACTTAAAATTGAGGTGGCACTTAACGTGTTTTTCCGTATAATTAGTGTACACTTATATTTCTTCAGTGTCCATTTCTTTGGTGTATCAAATAAATAAGTAAATAAAGGCCGCCGATAAGGGACCTGGGCTTGGGCTGTCACACAATATTCGTTTAACATTCCGATTCGAGGTTCGCTGAGAGGGCCGAACCACGGCTCGATCAATAGCTATTGTCGCGCTATAACATTTCCAAATGACGGCTTTAGATCTAACTAGCTGACCCGGCAAACGTTGTTTTGCCATATAAATTATTTGTAGGGTAGAAAAAAATGTTCAGGGTGGACTACCCTTAACATTTAGGGGGATGAAAAATAGATGTTGTCCGATTCTCCACCCTGACCGATATGCACACAAAATTTCACTTACAAACACGGTGACACGAGAATTATATATATTAGAGAGATATTGTCTACTGAACAGACAAGTAGGTGGAGCTGTACGAATAGAATCGACGTCCCTACCAAATAGAAGTTTCAAGAAAAAAAAACTGACACACTTTTTACAGTTTCCGTTTTGTTACAGCACGCTCAGTGAGGGATCGCTGGGTGAACATCCGAAGCACGTTCAATCACAACCTTCGACGCGTGGACAAGTCAAAGGAGACGGCCGGGTCACCCGCCGAAGTGTTTGTACCATGCTGGCCATTATGGAAGCCATTACAGTTTCTGCGAGAGATACCCAGAAAGGAGGACTTAAACAATTATGAGGTGAGGACTTAAGTTTTTTTTTTGTGGCAAAGTGCGTAAAGGCCTCACCTGTACAGATAGTGTTGGGGCATAGTAAATAAATAAGTAAATAATTCCGGACACCACCGTGCAATTTTTATTTATTTATCCTTTATTGCCATTACCTTAAAAAAGTATTACAAAGGGCGAACTGAATGCCTAATGGCAGTCTCTCTCAGTTAACTCGGGGCGTGGTGAGAATTCGTGGTAGGTGCAATTATTACATTAAATTACTATTGTATGTATTGCCAGTATACAATGCTTAAATATACATAATAAACAAAATACATACAACATTATTATAATATACATAATATATAATAAACAATTCGTTGTTTATTATATATTATGTATATTATATATGTGATGCAGTACATAGCATTGTCAATACTTGCAAATGTGTTTCTTTCTTTGTTTTCTCTTCATTTACCAAGGATGGTTTTTGATATTGATGAACTTAATTAAGTAATTATGTCGTCAATGGGTGGAATATAGACATGCTTTCATAAGGTCGCGGTACGAATTGTAATTGTGTCCACCAATGAGTTACGGGCGAAATAAGTATAGCATTGATAAAGCAAGATTAAGAGGTTGATGAAGGATTCCTTGTAATAATTAAGTCAAATTCAACATTCGACGAAACTATTAATGAAACTTATTTAAAGGTGGCAACTTCTGCAACCCTACGGTTGTTGCAAAAGGAACGCACGGAGCGTATGACGTCCGGGAGAGTGAGAGAAATAGCATATCTAAAAACTGGCCTACATGAAATTCTTGTTTTCCCGACGTTGCCAGATCTCGTACCATGCGGGATTGTTAAGATTCCGTTCTGATTGTGATATGGAAATATCACTCGCATAATATATACAACGAAACGCTTTCTTTCAGACATATCAACCGATCCGACGTGATACGGGCGTTAAGCAAGAAACCAATGAACTCGTGAAAGAGGAACTGCGATCGGACGTTGAGGAACTGCAGTTGGGTATCAGGCAACGAGGCAGAAGGACGGACAGGCCGCGACGCCGTCTAAAACCGTTAAAGAGGAAAAAGAAGACCGACAAATGTATCGGACTGATCGAAGACCTCGTCAAAGCCTTAAGACCCATCGTGCCCAATTCGGTGTCTGCATCGGAGAGGGAGGACGAAGCGAGCTTCTGGTTTTTCGGGAGGCACGTCACCGAAAGGATGAACGCGATGAGGGACGTAGACGCGTCCTGCGCCAATAGAGAAATCCTCAATCTGCTGGACAGATACAGCCAGTTGAACGGCGCCGCAATCAAAAGCGAAGACTCCACTTCGGATTAACGGCTCGGGGACAAACCTGTGATTGCAACAAAAACACCAATGACAGCATCGTATTGGCGTGGCAGCAAGTGAGAGCATCGGATAGTAACACGCTGAAAGCGTTTCAAACGCCAACCTGCCAACGCCGAATTGAACATGGCCCAATATGTTCAACGATACTGATGCCCGGTTTCTGAAACACTGATCATCGTAGATGTCAACTAATCAGCAGTCAAATGGCTTTTTAAATGTTATTTAAGTTTCCAAAAGAATAGTTAAGCTCTCTGAATTGATCAGAATGACCTTGTTAATTATCAGAATGATCAATTTAAGAGTTTATGTCATCCTTTTGGCAACTCAAATGACATTTTAACAGCCATTTAACAGCTGATTAGTAAACTTCTACGATGATCAGTCTTTCAGAAACGAAGCGTAAGAATACGATAGCTATTAGAATAGACAGGCTGTGGCAACAAAGCAGTGCTCTCAAAACGAGGAAATGCGACAAAAGATTTCCTGTTAACATGCAAAGTTCTGAGTATGAAGTTGTGTTGTTGACGACCCGATTGGCGTAGTGGGTAGTGCCTGCCTCTTGCGCCAGAGGGTGTGGGTTCGATCCCCACTACTGGAAAAATATTGTGTGATGAACATAGTGTTTTTCCAGTGTCTGAGTGTTTGTATATTTATAATATGTATTGATTTATCAGTTGTCTAGTACCGATAGCACAAGCGTTGCTTAGTTTGGAACTACAGAACGTTTTTTAAAAAATGTGTCCTAATTATTTATTTTTAATTTAATCGGCCCCAATACGGGACTTTCTAAAAATGTCGATTTCGATTTCTCAACATTTAAAGCGTCTGAGCGCGGCTCCAGAAGACACTGGGTTCGATTCCCGCGGTGGCGAAACTCTGTTTTCTTTGAGCGACTGCTCAATTCAGATACGCTAAGTCACTGCGAATCTCGTAAAAGTATACGATGTATATACAATAATAAATGATGAAAAATTTAAATACTAATTGAAAGACTAAAATGAATTGACTAAAAATATACTTTCTATTAATGGCAATGGCGGCCGAGTGACGTATGAAACGGAGACGAGCCGAGTTAAAACGAGATTTTTGGCTGTAGCCTAAAATTTGTTTTCCACTGCAATTTGATTGATTCATTTGATTTACTGTGGTGGGCCGCGTAAAAGTTGCATCAATGGGCAGTACCGTCCGGGGAAGTACCACGAACTCACAGAAGAAGTAGTGGAGGCCGCATACTTCTGCGTTTCGTCTCGCGAGTGAGGTAGCCGGGACCCACTTCATAACAAGGCCGTGGTGGGCGGCGGTTATCACTTAACATCGGGTGAACCGCCAGCTCGCTTGCCATCTTATTACATAAAAAATCTACAACAGATAGTGAACATTGAAAAGTAATATATTGACTCTCAGTTCAACGTCAGGTCAATCCTATGAATCTTTTCAACCGACTTTAAAAAAAGGAGGTTTTCAATTCGACTGTATTTTGTTTTATGGTTGTTACCTCAGAACTTTTATATGTACCGATTTTGTTGATTCTTTTTTTTTTTATTTGAAAGCTGGTGCTACCCATGTGTTCCCCTATTAATTTCGTTGCTATTGAATCTTGGGCTCCGGAGATACTGAGGAAACTCCTAAAAATTAATTATAAAATGAATACAGAGCGAGATATTTGAAGTCTTGTTTTTCGATAAAAAGAATATGGACTTGTTCTCTAAATGGTCTCTATGCGGCAGCTTGTAGCAAGTTCTAGTGAATCGTTTCCTGTATCTACCAATAAAATCCTGTTGTTTGTAAAGTAATACATTAGTAAATGTGTAGGTATATTACAATAAATAAATAGATAGAACCCAACATGTACACTTTACTACAAATACCCCCTACAAATCATCATTTCCCTGTGATTCCAATGAGCTAGCCGGCTGAGCCTCGCAGGCGAGCTTTGTAATATACAATTCCTAATTGTTCTTTTGTCTGGAGCTTGGGTACGGAACCCTAAAATTGGTGACTCAAGGCGTAAAATAAAAATAAATAAAACGTTTAACTTTAATAGATTCACATGATTTCAATACTTCACAGTAAATTTGCTTTCATTTCCAGACATAAGACTGTTGGTACAATCGTTCAGTTGCGACGCTAGTGCGCACTCGTCCTTAATTTTGGAACTTTTCTCTATACACTTGTCGAGGTGCTTGTCCAGCTTCTTCAGTAACTTTGTATTCTTCGCGAAGAACTTGCTCACCAGTAACATCAGGTTGTCTGGAAGAAGTGACGCCATAAAATAATTTCGTACATATATTAATATATATCATAATACTATACTTCATCTTATATATCAAAATGGATTGCTGTTCGTTAGTCTCGCTAAAACTCGAGAACGGCTGGACCGATTTGGCTAATTTTGGTTTTGATATATTCGTGGCAGTCCGGGGAAGGTTTAAACGATGAGAAATTATGGAAAATCGAAATGGCAACAATTTTATTTTCCCATACAAACTGTACCTGTCAACTGTGTCTGTGTAACCTGTCAAACACTTTATGCGTGCGTTCCGATTCCTTTAGAAATAATTTATATGGCAAAACAACGTTTGCCGAGTCAGCTAGTTAGAAATAAAAATGTCTTATCTACCGAAGATGTGCCTATAACAGAACAAACATTAATGCCTTTTCACGAGGAGGGAAGTAACACGGTCTCACGGAAGACTAGCGTAAAGTGAAAGTACCAAACTTTCGAGTTTCGGCTGGTGACTATCCGGGACCTACTTTTTAAGGTTTGGCATCTGCAGCGCTTCGGTTGTGTCCCATTGTAACATTAGGTGAACCATATGGGCACTCGCAAGTTTTTCAAAAAAGAATAAATAAAACATATTTTATAAGATAGTTCAAAAATGAGTTTTTGCTGACATAATATTTTTAAAAATATAAGCTTATAAAGAAACATTTACAAAACACCGAAAATACAAATACACTTACTAGTTGAACTAATTTTACTAAGGCTCACTCAAGGCCGATATGATCCCGAACACGACTCCAATTCTTCACGACTCTTTTCGTGATTTGAAAGAGATATTTGAATGTGTGACATCATAAAATGGAAAGTAATTGGTGCAAAAACTAATCGCCGGTGTGATCATATAACACAGGAAAAGTAAGTCATGATATATTAATTACATCAGTACATGAACATCGTGCTATTTTAAACGGATACAGATAACAACTTAACTAACACTTGTACTTAATATTTACAACCCCTAGGTGATAATTATAACCTCTAGAATAAGTAACAGCGTATACATCTTCCATAACCTTTCTCCATCCATAGCCTTCTCTGCACAAAAGCATTAAAGCATAGTCCACGCGACCCTACAATTGGCAGACCTCACATTAAATACTGAAACAGTAATTGTATTGTATATTATCTTGCAAATCTTAACCGAAGAGCACGTAATAAATCAGCACTTGAAATTTTAAATTTCATTGGCGTCAGCGCCGGGATTTGAAATCAGCTTGCTCAAGTAGCTATATCACTAAATTGTTGCAAACTAGACTTGTATCTTATTCGAAGCGAGTATGCCGAAATTATACCTTTATTGATTTTCCCATTAATAATGACGCCGTTCCGTTTCAAAACGCACGCGATAAGACATTCGCCGTGTACAGGCGACTCCCTCTTAGGTGACAACCTTCGAACTGTCTTCTTCTCATTGGCCTGCACTTCTTTCAAGCATTCGGACATGTTCCTCTTAAATTGCTCTACGTGCGGGGAAACTTCTTGCGGGAAAGAACTGTACGACCAGTCTGGCTCGCCTTCAGCGGCTTTTTTAGCACGTTCGGCTATAAAATAAATATTTGCGATAAACTTTAGATCGCTTTGAATTATTTTCCGTGTAATTTTTACCTCGGAGAAACGCACGGATTAGTATCGGATAATGGTACGAAAACCGTTCGTTTATATTCTTCATACAATATCTGTTTGTATATCTGATATGGGACACCAAATAAATATTGATTTTTATACGTATATGCATATAAAAGTTAACACATTCAGAGTTAACACGCGACCCTGCTGCGGATTGGCAGACTTGACATATATCGATATATATTTATTTATTAAAATTTAGCACGTCATAATTCAGCAGTAGTGCTGAATTATTTAGTAGTAGTACTAAAATTGAAAATTTCATTAGAGGTGGCAGTGAGATTTGATCTCGGGTTGTTATCACGGCTCACGATAGAAAGGCATACCTGCAATTTTCCACTCATCAAAATACATACACTTTTCATTATTAATAAGTAATTATATGAGTATGGTCATAAACGCGAATTATATTAAACTACTCTTAGATGAAATATTAGCTGTACGTGTTTCAATATTCATAATATTGTAATATTACTTCGATAAATAATAATAAAGCCGTAATTGATAGAACGGTTCAGTGTGTCTAGACTGGAGCCGGCTAAAATAGAACAGATTCACGCCCGGTTTCTGAAACACTCATCATCATAGAAGTCAATTAGATGATTAATTAATTAATCAGATTAGATGACTCCGTGACGCAGTTGCCAAGGTATTGGCTTCGGCGTCGGGGGTCGTGGGTTGTATTCCCACACGGGACAACTATTTGTGTGACCCACAGATAGTTGTTTCGCATCTGGGTTTGTCCACGTGAAATTTATGTTTGTAAAACGTCCTTACAACACAGGTGAATGAGAACATTTTATTTTATATAGGATAACCTATATAAGGGGTTACAATGTTTTAAAAAAAAACATTAAAAAATTATGTATGATTCGTTTCATAGGAATGCGCAAGCGTCTATTTGAATAAAGATGTGTTTTGTAGATGGTAAAAATGAAAGTAATAAGCCACGTATATAAATTGTATTTAGTACACGTATATAAATTGTATTTAATTCACCTCGACTGGACACCTAGAAACGGAACAATTATCCGTTGGACGAGCAAATAGTTGTTCCGAGTGGGAATCGAACCCGCAACCCCCGGTTCTGAATATAATAATAAGCTAATAGCTAAGCAACCTAGCTGCCAATACGTCAGTGCAAGCGAACATTACACAAACACGTTTACCTTCTCGATTCCGATTCTCCACTTTCATGTTCGTTATAATAGTGTCTTTATCAATTTCGATATCTCTGACCGTTTCCAACCCCATCACCATCTCTTCTCCAGTCTCCACTTTCTCTTCTTTCGAGAGAACTCCATCCAATATACTGAGAAATAGACTAACGAACAGTATTTTAACCCGCATCGTGACTGGCAGCCTTTGTGAATTTATGAATTCGATGTTAGCACACAAAGAAACAAACAAATTGCCTATTAACTGTTTCGATAAAAACTAACTAGTAATACAAGGAAGTTATGATAAACCGCACCGTTGCTTCATTAGTTTTGCAATGTAAGTCATAAAAATGTCGTTCTCGCAGGCGATTTCATGGGGACTTTTTCGACCGACTTCAAAAAAGGAGATTCTCTATTTGGTTGTATCTTTTTAGGGTTCCGCACCCAAAGGGTAAAACGGAACCCTATTATAAAGACTCCGCTGTCTGTTCGTCTGTCAACAGGATGTATCTCATGAACCGTGACAGTTGACAGTTGAAATTTTCACAGATGATGTATTTCTGTTGCCGCTATAACAACAAATACTAAAAATTTAAATAAAATAAAAACGATTTGAGGGGACTCTCATACAACAAACGCGAGGCGGTTGCTAAGCAACCTATAGGGAACTCTTGCGGGAGTTCGACTCGCACATGACCGGTTCTTTTTTAATTTATTTACAATTTTTTTAAATGTAGTATAAAACTTCCACTTCACGCCGGTCTTCTGTGAGGTCGTGGTACTTACCCGGACGGACCTGCCCATTCTATTCGTGCGACAGCGAACACTGTTGAATAGAGTATAAAGTTGCTGGAATATTCTCAAATTCTTAATGAGGTTTTATGTCAAGAAAAACACCGGTTCTAAATACCTCCACCTTAATGGTCGAATAAAAACCACTTGTCCTTAAATTAATACTTTATTTTACATGTTATTTATAATGCTCATTCATTTATTTACATACAATTTGGCATAAGACTATTTGAACTATACATTTATTATGGATAAAATTACATAGAAGTAACGCTAGTTTTTGTTTGTGCGAACACACAAACTTATCATCGCATTATACTGCAATAAAAGAGTTGCAAAATCTGATACAAATAAAAAAAATAACTGATACAACAGACAGTGCGTTCGTTATGAATTATGCTACTTATATTATAAGACGATAAATATCATTATCAACATAAAATCAAATTACGTCGATATCATTAACGTACCAGTTTTGTTTATTTTTTTCAAACGACTTAAAATCTAACATATCATCATGAATCAATACTGTTGAAGTTATAACTTTATCTGAACAGTTTTAGTCTGAAAAGAATACAAAACTTTCAAAAAGATTCTACAAAAACACTTGAACATCACGTTTGTATAAAAATATCAATAAAAGACGAAAACATTACATAAAAATCGTTTGAAAGATGGGGCTTTTTTTTTTGGAATATTTAAAATAAATGCGTTACAGCCTGAACAAATTATTTACATAATATTTATCAATTCAATTAAATGATTCAAATAGTTTTTTTTTAAATTGTTGTCTTCTCTACCGTCTAGGTGGCTGGTGTCAACAAATCTGAAAAGAATTGTTACAAAATATTAAGATACATCATTACATTACACGCGGCTTAGTCCGTCGAGTCGGAATAAAATTGAACAGAATGCATGTAAACGTGTGTTTGTGCATGTTTGTGTGTCTGCGTATGTTTACAGCGTGTCGTTACAACCGAGACAATAAATGAACACACGTCTAACGCTACTTGCCAATAATCATAAAAAAATATAAACGTTAAAAAAATTCATAATTAAAAAAATATTTTTCAAACAAACTAATTATGTAAAAAGGAAACAAAATTTGTAACATCCTATACAACTACAACTGACTGATTCATACATACAGAGACTTTTTGAGAGAGAGCGTGATGGCAATACATTTACGCGGGGGGAAAAAGGGACAGGAGATAGCGGATCGAACAGCGAAACTCCTTCGTGGGACCGGACTTTATACGAGGGGGCTATTGTGGCTGGTGAGTGCTTACCGGGCACGGGCGCGGGTGGCGTGGCGGGCGAGGGGGGCGCGGAGGGGGCGCAGGCGGCGCAGAGGGGCGCCGCGCGGGGGGCGGCGAGCGCGGGGAGGGGCGCGCGCCGGCACACGCAGCGCGTGCACACGCACCGGCCGCAGCCCCAGCAGTGGTGCTGTAGGGATGGCGAAAGTGAAGTAACCTATATCGATATATCGATTTATCGATATTTATGAAAATATCAACATCGGCCTCGATATATCGATATGTCGGATACAGGTCCCAGAAACCTATATAGAATCAAAAATATATCGATATATTAGTATATATTTTATATAAATGTAGATTGTAGTGATTTTTAATTTGTTACGCTAAAAAAGTATAACTTCTTACGTGCGAAATTTAAATTGTTTATAGTGCTAATCTTTGCACTTAAGATTGAACATTAAAATATGTAGAAAAAGGGCGAAAAGATTGTCGCCGCTGTGGGAATCGAACCCACGTCTTCGGCATTCGCGGCCTGACGCTCTAGCCTTTTTGCTTTTGCTTCAAACGCTAAGAAAACAATGTGGAAGAATGCGTTAAGATTTTCGTCGGTGTGGTAATCAGCCGTTTACCTCAGTGGCTAGAGCGTCAGGCCGCGAATGTCATTTACAAAACAATTAACACACCTAAACATAATTTTCTTTTCTAAATAAATAGATAATATTATAAATACATGAACACACAGACACTGGAAAAATACTATGTTCGTCACACAATATGATCGAAACCACACCCTCTGGCGCAAGAGGCGGGGTCACTAACCATTAGGCCAATCGAGTCGTCAAATCCTTACTATCCTTACTAATATTATAAACGCAAAAGTTTGTACGTATGGATGGCCGTTTGTTACTCTTTCACGCAAATACTACTGAATGCATTTTAATGAAACTTAACAACAATATAGCTTATACATCAGAATAAGACATAGGCTATAATTTATACACATATTTTATGTATATCTGTCTTTTTGTCTCAATGTTACGCCCTCAGCTTATTCTACGCAGACGTAGTCGCGGGCAGCAACCAATTCATCAAATAAAGACTGCACGTACGTCTACATTTTTGCCTCCGTTCTGTGAGGTGGCGGTACTTCCCCGGGGTGTGCTCGTGTTCGTTGAATTTTTTTTATGTGAAAGTTACCAAGCGAGCAGACGGTTCACCTAATGTTAAGTGAATATCGCCGCCCATTGACATCTGCTACACCAGAGGGTTCCAGACACGTTGACAACCTTGGGCTGGATGAGCCACTGTTGGCCTTAGGGGCCTTTACAGTTCCGACGGGCTTGAGGTGGCCTGGCACGCGAGGCGCCTAGCCTGAACTTCGGCGTATTATTATTACGCGTTATGGTGACTAAGCTCGAGGGCTCCCGGGGGAGCCTCGGCTCGGGCCGTCACGCTATTATTATCACCGGTTTGGGAGGCTGCCAAGCTCTTAGGGCGCGGGCGCTCCATGGAGTGATCAGGCTCAAGGGTCCCCGAGAGGGGACCTCGGCTTGGGCTGTCACTCAGCACGCGTTTAATAATAATAATAATAATAATAAAATATCTTTATTCACATAGACGCTTGCGCGTTCTTATGCTTATACATGCGCACACCTTGCCCCATGAACGACCTGTTTTACTTTTTGTCGAAACAATGGCGTAGTTTGTCCTTATTTCTAGGTTTATGTCTGTCCCCTATTAATATTATTTTTAACATACAAAATATTACAAGAGGGGACCTCGGCTTGGGCTGTCATAGATTGCTCAGCACGAAGTTATAGAATTTAGCATTCCGATTCGAGGGTGCCCGAGAGGGCCGGACCTCGGCTCGATCGGTAGCTATTATCTGTCTGGGGGAATTACTAGAGCTAACATTACTACCACTTCGGAGAGCGTTGGCGCTGGGAGAAGAAGTGGCGGAAGAAACTCCAGCAACGCTTCTATCATTAATAGGGGGAAACCTGCCGGGTACGTGGCGGAACCTAGTATATGTTTGCCGCACTCGCCGTCGAGTGCGGTGTGTGTTCGTGTGTTTCTTAAGTTTTTTGATCCTTTCGATGGCGATAGTCGTCTCATCGTCAGGGAAGTCGAACACGTGTCGCGGTCTTCGGTAATCGCGGCGGAAAGTATTTAGCGGCAAGGGCCTGTAGGTGACGGCACCTACGATTAGTGGGTTGACGCGAAAGTATTATACTTCCACTTGACGCCGGCCTTCTGTGAGGTCGTGGTACTTAGCCGGACGAGCCTGCCCATTCGTGCGACAGCCGAGGCCGCTGCGTGGCCCTACCACCGTTAAATGAATATGGGAACCGGGCATAAGTTGGTACGGCCAGGTCCTACCTTCCTGCTGTAGTGGTCCAGCGGCGTCGAACAGCTGCACTCGGTCACGTTCTTGATGCTCTTCCAGTCCAGGGCGACGGAGTTCACCTCGCTCTCCAACTCAGCCAGGCTGCCCGGGACCGAATCCTCCGCCCTCTGAGAAAAAAGACATACATTAACAACTACACTATCAGCCTAGAGTAAGTAACAACCTATACATGTCCTACTGCTGGGCGGAGGCCTCGTCAGCACAGATTGTATTAGGGCATAGTGCAACACGCGACCCCAATTCTTTTCTTTTTCTTTTTTTTTTAAACATTGCCCTTACTTTAGGATAACATTATCCTGTGTTGTAAGGATGTTTTATAACTTTTTTTTTTTTTCATTTTTTTAAACATTGCCCTTTAGGATAAAATTATCCTGTGTTGTAAGGACGTTTTACAAACATAAATTTCACATGGACAAACACCGAGATGCAAAACAACTATCTGTTGTCTGTGGGTCACACAAATAGTTGTCCCGTGCGGGAACCGAACCCACTTCGTAAAAGTAGACTTCGCAGATTTCTTTTTAATAATATTTCGAGCCGTGATAGCTCAGTGTACGGGCGCTCGCCTTTAATTCAATATACTCGAGCAACCTGAGTTCGATCCCCGGTGCCGGCACCAATGTAGTTTTTAACTTTAAGTGCTGACTTATCACGTGCTCCGCGGTGAAGGAGAACATCGTGAGGAAACCTGCATGTTTTCGAAATAATAACAAAAAAAAATATTTTTCGAAGATATGTGAAGTCCGCCAATCCGCAGTGGGGCCGCGTGGTGGACTATGACCTTTGCCCAGCAGTGGGACATGTATAGGTTGTTACTTACTTTTTACTTTTTTATATTTCGAAAATATTTTCATTCTCACAATATTTTCCTTCACCACTGAGCAGTAAATTACAGTAAATTCAGTATGTAATGATGTTATATCTATAATTATTGCATACACGTGTATTATAACTAATGTATGTACACAACTAACAACAACAGACAAATTTCCAATCACAGGTCTGCTGGAAGAGATTTATAAAGAAATAAGCGGGGCCTTTGTACAAAGTCTTTCGTGTGTTTACGTTTCTGTCATAATTCTCTGTGTATATAAATTATAAAATAAAATAAAAAAAAACATAAAAAAAGGTGCTGACGTCATCACGGGGCTCTACCTCGGTTATAAGCGGTATCTTGAGTGGTGTGGCGTTGGGGTGGGCCTCCTTGAGGGGGTGGTCGTGGTTGGCGCACTCCAGCTCAGAGAGACCGCCACTGGACTCGTACAGCAACCTGGAACGGACACGGTCTATTGATACAATGAGCGAGGTAGGTCTTTTCCCGCTCAAAGGTCAAGCATAACTGTTCAGCCAGCGAGGAAATGCGGCTAGGTCTATTCTCGCTCAACTAAGGATAGCTGTTCAGCGAGGAAATGCAACTGGCGTTCTTGGCACGATGCCGCTTGGATTAGGTCTATTACATGATATTATGGGATTTTAGATAGATTTAATCTTGTAAAATATTAGATACATAAATATTAATGAAGTAATATAATCACGTTTGATAAATTAAATATGAATAATGCTATTAATAGAGAATTGAATATTAATTTTATCCTTTAAACGAGCACTTCTTGTATATATATATATATATATATAATCGGAATCTCGGTGTATATATCTCGGAAACGGCTCAAGCGATTTTCATGAAATTTTGTATGTGCGTAGATTAGGGGGCGAAAAATAAATCTAGCTAGGTTTCATTTTCAGAAAATGTCCTTTTATCCCTGTTTTATGAAATTCCCGAATGAAAAATATCATTCGAATATGACAGTAAATTTCGCCGCAAAAAAAATGTCATAATAGCTCGGTCGGTAATCGGGCGCCCCCGAAACAGAAGGTCGTGGTTCGTGTCACGATCATTTACATACTTATTTTTTTATTTTTTCGATTCCAGATCATTGCTTTCTTTATTTATTTATTTTTTTCCATCTAGATGATTTTATTCTTTTTGCCCTTTTTTTTAAGTTATTTCTTTTGTGAAAAACACCAGTTCATATTTTCTTATTATTACGTCGGTAAGATCGAAAAATATTACGCATGTTTCATTACTCAGTAATTTGTATCTAAATGTAATTTCCAAAATACACGATTTACCAAAAAAAAAAAAAACCTCCAGGTACTATTCGCTAACTTTTGACAATCTTAATAGCGTCTACGATGCTTTATGTGAAATGTTGGAAAGCGAACACGCGGTTCACGTGTAGTTAAGTGATAATCGCCACCCATGGAAATCTACGTTACGTAATTGCAGATGCCATGAACTGGCGGTTCACCTGATCGTGAGTGACAACCACCGCCCATGGGCTTTTGCAACACCCGTTGGATTGCAGATGCGTCCAAGTGGGTCCCGGCTACCTCACTCACCATGACGCAAAGCAGAAGTATGACACTTCTGTAAGGTCGTGGTACTTACTCGGACCGACCTGCCCATTCATGCAACGGCGCAGACTGTTGCGTGGCCCTACCACCTAAGTGGACCCCGGTTACCTCACTCAATAGACGCGAAATCATAACACTACCACTTCACGCCGGTCTTTTATCAATTCTAGGTACTTCCCCGGATGTGCCCACCCAGTTATGCAACATCAGTAGCTGCCACGCCCCCACCACAGTCAGAACTAGAAGAAAGAAGTATAAAAAAGAAGAATGCGAACGCACTTATTGTCAATCTGCAACGACTCGGTCTTCGTTTCGATCTCTACTGCGTCAACGTTCCCGTTCTGGTAGTTCACAACGGCCCCTCTGCCCTTGTCCGCCTTCTTGCCTGATAGGAGATTCTTGAACGTGGATATCCGCTACAGCAAAAGAGAACAGTATAGTCATTGGATAGAGTACAAGTAGTGCATTTTAGTATGGCGTCACTGCAAAATGCAACTTAACAGGATAAACATAAAGAACAATTCGACTTGGCGTGACGACGGTTTTCAAACTTCGAAAATTGTGGAGTCCCTCGCGCGCGGAATCTCTCTCGAGTCTCTTTAATTCTCTCCACCCCCACCCCAGGAGCTTTGAACGTTTAACGCAACATTGCTTTCATACCCCCTCCATGGTAACGTTAAACGTTTAACGCAACCTTGTTGCAACTCGCATTAGAAGTTAAACTTCAATCACTTCAATAATATGTCAGCATAGGGGCCTTGATTGGAGCCCTAACAGTCGAAATTAAACCGAGTTAATTTGGAAAAACGTTAAATTGTTCTTCGTCCTTTTACTGTAACCGTCTTAACTCAATTGGAATAGAGCACAAATTAACTTGGCGAACTATCTCGCCAAGTTAATTTCATCGTCATTGGTCCTCGACGACGCTGTTTAAAAACGTGAGCGGGTCAGATTCGAAATCACCTTGAAGGAAGCGTGTTTGATGCGGCACGGCATAACGCACGCTATTCGAACGGAACAGAGTCCAATTCCCCTTAGCGAGGTAGTTGTGGTGGTCTAGTGCAGAGGGGTGCTCGCCGCTGCACGGCATAACGCACCCTATTCAAACGGGACAAAGTCCGATTCACCTTGGCGAGGTGGTTGATGTGGAGTTAGACGCTGCGCGGCATAACGCACCCTAATCAAACGGGACAAAGTCCAATTCACCTCGGCGAGGTAGTTGATGTGGAGTTAGACGCTGCACGGCATAACGCACCCTATTCAAACGGGACAAAGTCCGATTCACCTTGGCGAGGTAGTTGATGTGGAGTTAGACGCTGCACGGCATAACGCACCCTAATCAAACGGGACAAAGTCCGATTCACCTTGGCGAGGTAGTTGATGTGGAGTTAGACGCTGCACGGCATAACGCACCCTATTCAAACGGGACAAAGTCCGATTCACCTTGGCGAGGTAGTTGATGTGGAGTTAGACGCTGCACGGCATAACGCACCCTAATCAAACGGGACAGAGTCCAATTCACCTCGGCGAGGTAGTTGATGTGGAGTTAGACGCTGCACGGCATAACGCACCCTAAAACGGGGCAGAGTCCAACGGGACAGAGTCCAATTCACCTCGGCGAGGTGGTTGATGTGGAGTTAGACGCTGCACGGCATAACGCACCCTAATCAAACGGGACAGAGTCCAATTCACCTCGGCGAGGTAGTTGATGTGGAGTTAGACGCTGCACGGCATAACGCACCCTATTCAAACGGGACAAAGTCCGATTCACCTTGGCGAGGTAGTTGATGTGGAGTTAGTGCGGACGCTGCTCGCCGCGCGGCATAACGCACCCTAATCAAACGGGACAGAGTCCAATTCACCTCGGCGAGGTGGTTGATGTGGAGTTAGACGCTGCACGGCATAACGCACCCTAATGAAACGGGACAAAGTCCATTCACCTCGGCGAGGTGGTTGATGCGGAGTTAGACGCTGCACGGCATAACGCACCCTAATCAAACGGGACAGAGTCCAATTCACCTCGGCGAGGTGGTTGATGCGGAGTTAGACGCTGCACGGCATAACGCACCCTAATCAAACGGGACAGAGTCCAATTCACCTTGGCGAGGTAGTTGATGTGGAGTTAGACGCTGCACGGCATAACGCACCCTATTCAAAGGGGACAGAGTCCAATTCACCTTGGCGAGGTAGTTGATGTGGAGTTAGACGCTGCACGGCATAACGCACCCTATTCAAAGGGGACAAAGTCCAATTCACCTTGGCGAGGTAGTTGATGTGGTGTTCGAGCGCGGAGGCGTGCTCGACCGCGGCGGGCAGCAGGTCGCCGAGGGGCTCCCGCGGGTGCACGCCGCTCTCGTGCCGGCAGTACATGCCGCGCCAGAACCTGATCATCAACAGCGCTACAAATGCACTGTGCTATGCTGTGCTGCGCTGCGCTGCGCTGTGGAAAGCTTTGACGACGCTTAATGTACATCCGTGATCGCTCCGTCAAGCAGTTGCCGAAGTATTAGCTTCAAAACGGGGGGTCGTGGATTCGATTCTCACACGGGACAACTTTTTGTGTGACCCATAGATAATTATTGTTCCCCGTACGTGCAAAGTATACTCTGAATTTCGATCAGGAGACGTACAATAGGTAAAGTATATTATAAACCTTGTTGGGTTCACATTCATCACTTAGCAACTTCTTTCCAGAGTAAGAGTAGTAGGTACTCTATTAAACAATTTTCGAAATTTATTACTATGAGTGGAAAAATCTTGCTTCAACATCTAAGCGAAGTTATGTTCATGAGCCGATTGCTCTCTGTCACGACGTGCAGTGGGAGCGAGACAGAGAGCGACTCGTGCACGCGGCGGGAATGAGAGGGCAATAATTGCCACATTACACATTGTACAGAAGAGCACAATGATGCACTAGGTACCGTATGCTCTGCGCGCTGAGGTCCGGCTTGAGGGCGTCCGGGTAGGCCTTGGGGTTGTACAGGGGGTTCTTGTATTCGTTGAGGTGGCTCGCCATGTAGCCCCACAGCGAGAACGTGCGCTCCGACAGCCTGGAATCGAAACAAGGAATGTCAGGTGCAGCCTGTATATAATACTAGCGACCCGCCGCGGCTTCGCACCGGTGCAATGTTTTATACATATAAACCTTCTTGAATCACTCTATCTAGTAAAAAAACGCATCAAGATTCGTTGCGCAGTTTTAAAGGTCTAAGCATACATAGGGACAAACAGACAGCGGGAGGACTTGTTGACAGTGTTGAGGTGAGACCCATGTAGAGAGGGTATAAGGACATATACACAAACACATTCAATTGAAAATACTGCTTAAATAATGTAAATCCGTTTTTGGCTATAATTTTAGATCATAAAATGATACGATGTAACAAAGAGCTGTGGATTTTGTGCGGAATAAAAATTAAAATAAAATAGTCGACCACGCGACCCCACTGCGGACTGGCGGCAATCACGTATCTATGATTTTTTTCAACAAACTATCTTTTTTATTATATCACTTATCTTGAGTATTAAAGCTTTGTTTGTTTTTGGAGAGATAAATTCTATTATCAGGGGTATGAAGTTAACAACTAACACACTAACAGACACAGTACTTGTCACACATTAACTACCCAGTATTTGACATTGTTTTTTTTTAACAAATACGATTGGCAGATTCCTGGTAGCAGTAGTATCAATATCGATCCGATTGGCGTAGTGAATTGTGAACCTATATCTTGCGCCAGAGGGTGTGGGTTCGATCCGCACTACTAAAATATATTGTATGACGAACATAGCGTTTATCTAATATCTGGATATTGTAATATAACTGTGATAGGACCACGCAACGAATGGGCATATCTCTCCGGGAAAGTGCAATGGCCTCACAGAAGACCAACGTGAAGTAGAAGTGTTACACTTCTGCGTTTCGTCTGTTGAGTGAGGTAGCTGGGGCCCACTTTATTAAAAGGTGGCAACCTACGGGTGTTGCAAATGTCAATAGGTGGCGGCCACTTGCTACCTTCCCACATATAAATAATAATAATAAATAAATTTATTTATTTCTATAGTAATAACAATACAGATCGTTTACACTTAATTATGGTAAGTTACAATAAGAGACAATGGAGTCCACTGTGACTTCCAAACTAGGCAGTGCCTGTATCTTGGAAGCTGGATATAAAGTATGTTTATCACTTAGTACCCATACTACAAGCCTTGCTTAGTTCGGTATTAGATAATTTTGTGTAAATTATGACCTGCAATATTTATTATATAAATTGAACATATAGAATTTTGGCGTCACCTTAGATCCCTCCTGTCCTTCTGGCAGTTGCCAATGAAGGTGCCGTATTGGCACGCGTGGGCGTGGTCGTGAAGGGTGAGGAGAAACCTCTCGTTGAACTGGAACGCCTGGAAATATAAAAGAATTTTTTGTCGAATTGAAATAATGACGAAATTGCTCAAATTTTTCGTAATGGGTACAAAATAAAAACGATGGAGTTGTTAGGCAGTTCGCGTGTGAAACAGTGAGGCAGTACGATGGTTGTTTTTATGTTTGCGTATAGAAAAGTTTATATAATAAAGTTATGAATATTATAAAGGCGAAAGTTTGTATGAATGGATCGGTGTTTGTTACTCTTTCACGCAAATACTACTGAATGGATTTAAATGAAACTTTACAATAATATAGCTTATACATCAGAATAACACATAGGCTATAATTTATATACATATTTATATGTATATATGTTTTTCTGTCTGAATGTTACACCTTCAGCCTATTCTACGTAGATATTTAAGGCTCTGGTGAATGTCCACGGGAACGTTAACATTATAAAGCATTCGAAACGATGTACGAACCATGTAAGTGTGATTGTTTTTGTTCGTGCTTGTGCGTATGCGTACGCGTGATTGCGTCTGTGAGTGTGCGTGCGTTACGATATATGAATGAAAAATGTAAGCAGGATCGTTTGTGTGCGTGCGTGCGTGTGCGTGCGTTATCATGTATAGAGTATGTAAGTCCAATTGTTTATGTGTGTGAGTGCATTTGGGCGCGCGAGTTTTCGTGCGTGTGCGTGCGTTACGATGAATTGAGTAAACCTGATTTTTTTAGCGTGTGCGTGCGTGTTCGTCCGCATACTTGCGTGCGTGTTCGTGCGTCACGATGTATGAACCGTGTAATTCGAATTGTTTGTGGCGTGCGTGCGTGTTCATGCGTGTGCGTGCGTGCCCACCTGCGGGATCTGCCGCAGCAGCTGCCAGGTGCAGTCGAGCAGCTGAGTGAAGACGGGCGAGCGCTCGCGGGAGTCGCACGCCACGTGGCCGCAGCGCGCCGCGAACTTGTGCCCGAAAGACAGCCAGTCCTTCTCGATCAGCGCCTGCGAGATGGGAACAAGTCCAGATCAGCTCTGGGGCAACTGGAACATCGACACCAGCGCCCCCGTGTGCAGAGATGGGGTCAGTTAAGGCTAGGGACTTTTACGTAATATGTCCAAGATAAATAGCGACTTTTCGTGGTGAGACGTGATGGTACGAAGTGTAGTATATATTACACATTGAAAAAAATTAATTTACATAAAAAAAATACGTTTACATTTTCTTCGTGAGTTAAAATTAAACAAAATTAAACGCGAGAACATCAAAGTATTTTACAACATCACATAAAATAAAATGACGTAGTGGCGACGGTAGCGGTCACCTCACATTCATCAAAGTAACTGTCTCGTTGTACCACCACCACCTTCGGGTGGTGTTCGCCTACCACTGAAATGAAAGTGGATCGCTGATGATGCTTCATCTGGGCTGATGGCGAAAGTTGCGTGATATGCCAAAGTTCAGTAATGTCATTACTGAACCTAAAACTTTTTCTTGCTGTTGACAACTACGGTCTGTGAAGGACTCGCCTGGTACCCGTCACCTAAAAGCAGCTGACTCAGATGACGTTGGATGAATGAATTTCAGAGATATCTGACCTGATGGCCCAAGAGAAGTATCGTGATGGTGAGAGGTCGGAGATGTCAGTCACCTGAAACCAGCTATCGGGCGCTACTGATGACTGAGGTCTGTTTTTTTTTTCTCTTTTCTAAAAACATAACATTGCCCTTACTTTACGATAGCAATATACAGGATATTGGAAGTTGGAAGGACGATTTACATGGATAAATCTCACGTGGACAAACACCCAGATGCGAAACAACTATCTGTGGGTCACACAAATAGCTGTCCCGTGTGGGAATCGAACCCACGACCCCCTGACGCCGAAGCCAATACCTTGGCAACTGCGTCGCGGAGTCATCAAGAACGCGAGTCATAAAAAGACTCGTTTGGCATCCGTCACCTAAGAGCAGCCGTTTCAGGTGACGCCATTGAGTGGTCTTGGAAGGGCTGACCTGGTACCCGTTGATGGTGCGGTAGTGGGGGTCCAGGAGGAGCGCCGCCAGCGAGCACACCTGCGCCGTCCTGTCCCAGCCGTCGCTGCAGTGGACGCACACGCTCGCGCCGCCGTCCAGCGCGCGCGCGATCCACCACGACGCGTCCAGGATCGACCTGGACATCGGCGCTGGTAACACATGTGGCCGGTGCTCGAGGGCGCCGATGGCGTTTTGGAACGAGGTTCGTAAACGCTGCTTGCGGATTTTGGTTGGTAGAAAAAGCGTTGTGCCCCCTCCACTCTACTCGCAGCGACTCTCTTTCTCCCTCTTTCTCTCTCCCTCTCTCTCTTTCTATTTCAAAAACGCGCTATACCTAGTTGTTTTTTTTTAATTAATCGTAATTAATTAATTTAAATAATTAAATAATTAAAAATTGTAATTCATCGATTAATAACAATTTTTCTCCTACATTTCCTTTTTTCCATTTATCACTCTCAAACTCTGTTGACTAAGTTCAACGACTAGTGGTATTCAAACACGTACCGGCAGTACATGCCGCGCCGGAATCTTACAATAAACTGTGCTGTGCTGTTTGGCCTTAGACTCTCATTGTATATTTTGGATGAGTAACAAACTTGAGTCCGTTCATAGCTCAGTGGTCCGGGCGCTCTCCTTTATCCTCTAGCACCTGAGTGCCCCGTTGCCGCACCAATGATGTTTTTAACTTTTAGTTTTTTGATGAGTAGAAAAATTGTGGTGTTACGATATGTATAAAATACGAAGTGTTGAGTATAAAAAAAGTATGCAATTAACGATGTTTGCCTATATTAAACTCACTTTATGTGCTTCAACCAACCGGACGACTCCAAACCGCTCAGGAACGAAGACATAGACGGCGTGTTTTGCTCGCAAGCTGAAAGCGAAAAAACTATCCTTATAGTTTCCACTAAAATAGCGACAAATCGATACGATACGTGGCGATACGGTGGTATGGCCACGCAGCAGCCTCGGCGGTTGCACGAATGGGCATGCCCGTCCGGGTAAGTACCACGACCTTACAGAAGACCAGCGTAAGGTGGAAGTGTGACAAATACTTTCGCATTTCGTCTGGTGAGTGAGGTAGCCGCAGCCCAATTTTCAAAAGGTTGTCAACGCATCTGTAACCCTCGGGTATAGCAGATGTTCATGGGCGGCGGTATTCACTTACCATCAGGTGAACCGTATACTCGTTTGACAAATATTCGCATAAAAAAAATACTATAGTCGAAATAAGAACGCACTGGAGTAAACTAACCAGTTATAATGACACTTTATAAATTAATTTTGCCATATTTATTATTAAAGAGATTAATATACTCACTGTTGCGTCTCAATATATTTATTGTAATATTTTGTATGTTAAACATAATATTAATAATTATCTAAAGAATAGTGACAGACATAAACTAAATACTAGAAATAAGGACAAAATAACTACGCCATTGTTTCGTCTACAAAAAGTAAACAGGTCGTTCATGGGGCAAAGTGTGCGCATGTATAATAAAATCCCACAGTCGATATTAAGTCTGCCACTTGATGAATTTAAACGAAAAGTTAAAAGTAAACTTATGGCTAAAGCCTATTATACTATTGCGGAGTATCCTGACGACGCCAATGTGTGGGGTTAATACTGTTGATATTCACGTAGGCTAAAACAAGACTATTATACCTGTACCATTATATGTAAACTGACCTTTTAAAAAAAACTACTGTTGAGTTTCGTTGTCTTTCTGTCCGGTTTCTTCTCAACAGAAACTGCTTTCCGAACCGGTGGTAACTTACGAACGTGTTAATTTATGTAAATAATAAGAACGCGCAAGCGTCTATGTGAATAAAGATATTTTATTATTCATTTGTTTTCTCGTCTGGTTGGGTTTTTATTTATTATTATTATTATTATGGTTTTTTTATTATTATTGTGGGGGATATTCATTTGTTTTCTCGTCTGGTTGGGTTTATAAATAAAAATAAAAACAAAAATAAAGATATAGATATATATTGCATATATGAAATAAATATTATGGGGGATATTCATTTGTTTTCTCGTCTGGTTGGGTTTATAAATAAAAATAAAAATAAAAATAAAGATATAGATATATATTGCATATATGAAATAAATATTATGGATAAAAAAAAAACATATATATATATATATATATATATATATATATATATATATATATATATATAATATATATATAATATTTTTATATAATACATATATAAATAGGGACCCAACCAGACGGAAGCCCTCGGCAGGGGAGACCAAACGGCCGAGGGTTAGGGCGAAAGAGAGAGAAACCGGCGGACGATGCGGGCGGTATCGAGGAGCACCGCCTTCTGCATTTGAGCCTGGAGCGATCCGTCCCGGAGTCCCAGTCGCCTCAGATGTTTAGAGAGGCTGACTGGGATCAACCCATTCGCAGACACGACTATAGGGATAATTTCGGTCGGCACACCACCCCACATGTCGGTCACCTCGTGAGCCAGGTCCAGATACTTCGTCTTCTTATCTGTTTTTCGGCTTTCACGAGGTTCTCGTCATATGGAATGGTAATGTCGACCAAAAATACCCGCGACTGTGCCCGGTCCATCAACACGATATCAGGTTTGTTCGCGACAATCGTCCTGTCCGTAATGATGGACCGGTCCAATAGAGCCTGGCGCGGTCATTTTCGAGCACGGCCTCCGGAGAGTACTTATAATACGGCAGTTTCCGTTCCACGAGGCCGTATTTCAGAGCGAGCTCCTGGTGTAGGATTCTGGCTACTAGGTTGTGTCTATGCAGATACTCAGAGTTAGAAAGCATGGAACAACCGGAGATAACATGCCGAAGCGACTCCCCGGGATGGCGACAAGCTCGACAAATGTCGACGGTGCCATCCTTTAGGATGTATCTCCTATAGTTGTTCGTCTTAATAACCTGATCCTGTATCGCACAGACAAAACCTTCGGTTTCCCCAAAGAGGTCACCGAAACGTAGCCAGTTCAGGGAGGCAACAGTATCTACGAAATAAATATTATTATTATTATTATTAATTGCGATAATCCAGCAAAGTGACTAAGCTCTTTTTCAAACAGTCCATTTGAACGCACAAAATTTTATAGAAAAAGTAAAGTAACACTCCCACGGCTGGGCAAAGGCGTCACAGAGGTTATCAGGTCAGAGTCCACCACGCGGCCCCACTGCGGATTGCAGGACATCACATATCTTCGAAAATGTTTTTTTGTTATTATTTCGAAAATGTGCAGGTTTCCTCGCGATGTTTTCCTTCAAAGCTGTGCTCATGATAATTCAGCACTCAAAGTTGACAATTTCATTGGTTCTGACGGGATTTGAACCCGGGTTGCTGATTGCTCATGTATATTGTATTAAAAGCGAGTGCCCGCAATCACGGCTCATAATATTAATGATAGTTTGAAATATATTTTGTTTTTTTTTTATGTGACAAGGTGGCAAACGAGCTGGCGGCCCACCTGACATTAAATACAGCCCATGGAGGGTTGAAGATGCGTTGTCACCTTTTAATAAAGTGGGCCCCAGCTACCTCACTCACCAGACGAAACGCAGAAGTATAAATTCCACTTGACGCCAGTTTTTCTGTGAAGTCGTGGTACTTCCCCGGACGGACCTGCCCATTTGCTGTTGTGTGCGTCTATCTTAAGATGAGGATTAATATATATCAACTGTTTTGTTATAAACTAGCGATCCGCCCCGGCTTCGCACGGGTGCGATGTATTATACATATAAACCTTCCTATTGAATCGCTCTATCTAGTAAAAAAACCGCATCAAGATCCGTTGCGTAGTTGTAAAGATCTAAACATACATAGGGACAGACAGATAGCGGGACGGCTTTGTGTTATACTATGTAGTGATGATGAAATTAACAATGAGAACAAAAAATTGAATAAATTTTGTGATTGTGCCGATTTTCCAAGCGTGACGTCGCCCTTATGTAACGAATAAATAATTTCAAATATCGGACAACAATTTCATAATAATTGTCACTGTGTTGTTGTTATATTCTTTTATATTTAACTAATTTTGGAAAATTGTTATTGGCCTTCTGTATTTATTATGCAATACTTTACTAATGTGCAAAATAAAATGTGCTGTAATAAAATATGACTATCGCTGAACATACTCTCATGACATGAAATTACTCCGATGAATTGAAAGTCTCCTTCGATCGTTGATATGTATGAATTAATTTATAATAGTAATAAAAACAAATAATAATAATAATAAAGAACTTCGCGACGGTTTCTCTCCCTTTTGCCCTAACCCTCGACCGTTTGGTCACCCCTGCAGTTTCCGTTTGGTTGGGTCCTATTTATTTATTTATTAATGTATGCAATATATTATGTATGTATGTTATTATAAATAAATATATCCCCACAATAAATAACATGAATGCGACCTCAATCGACAGATTGTTCAAAACTCGATCACTTAAAAACTTTAACGAACAATAGATGGCGCTATATGCACCGTAAAACACACTAACGTTTGTCTCCTGTATAGCCGTAAGTTGTCTTCAACGGACTTACAAAGACGTTCTCAATTCGATTGGTATTTTCGGTAACGTAGTCGTTATCGATATTTTTGAAGGACCATAAATAAGTAGGTCTTGAATTGTCATTATAGGTTGTCAAAAAATACTGAATTTGAACTTCAAACAAATTAACTATATTAACTTATGAATTTACTGATCTTATTGAATAGTTCTAAGTTCAGGATGTTCTAATGTCTTATCTATGACTAATATCTACAGTATACACGTATTGATATCGCTAACAATGTAAGTCATATCACTTGGAGATTAGTATAATTTTTAGTATAGAACGAATTCTTTGTTTTTTAGTTATTATTTATTTTTTAGTCTTCTGTTCAAACTTTTAAATAAATTTTAGTAAAGCAAACATTATTTAAGCTGTGATATACAAATACGTAATATACTTTCGCGTTTCGTCCTATTAAAAGGTGGCAACGAATCTGCCACCGTACGGGTGTTGCAATGAGTGGCGGTGATAACTTAACCGTCTGTTCTCTTGCAACCTAAAAAACCGCGAGTCGTACTCGCGCGCGAAGGTAACTATCACGCTTCGTGAGATACCTAGCCTAGTGACAGACGAACAGACAGACAGCGGAGTCTTAGCAATAGGGTCCCGTTTGAACCTTTGGGTACGGAACCCTAAAAAGGAACCCTTTTGGCTTCACTCTGTGGTCCATGTGTCACCACCGATTTTTTAGTATTCCGTTCGAATGCAATAAGTGGTAGTACGGCGCTAATCACTTAATATCAGGGGACCCGCCAGCTCTCTTGCAACTTAAACCTCTTACTAATTTAACAATCTTAGTTTAAAAAAGACATCATTCGTTCAGCTGACCCTGGCAATTGCTGGGATAAATGCTAGGTAGAAGAAGGTCATTTGCTCAGCTGGGGCTGAAGAGAGATTGTGTGCGTGGGCGTTCGGTTTGTGTGCGTCACTCACTCTCGACCAGCCTCTGCAGGCTCTTCCTCATCACGTGGATGTTCCCGATGCCCATGAAGTGGAACTTGATGTTCTCGTAGAACGCCTCGTTCTCGTAGCCCTTGCCGGCGGCGCGGTTCACCATCGCGTTGATCTGGAAATACCGGCGTTTACGATTAGAAATAAGTAAGAAAGTAAGAAAGAAAGAAGGAAAGAAACGTATAAAGCAATATACAACGTTTTTGCTTCATTCGAATTATCCGACTTTTCGTAAACTTTGCGTGTATAGCTCAGTTTCCGTTCGCTAGCTTTTGATTCGTTACACTCGAGCAAGTTCTAAAAAAAAAATCAAATCTCGGTGCCAGCATCAATGGTTTTATTAGTTTTAAGCGCTAACTTATCACTTGATCGGCGGTGAAGGAGAACTCCGTGGCACAGTTGCCAAGGTATCGGCTTCGGCGTCGGGGGCCATGGGTTCGATTCCCACTCGGGACAACTATTTGCGCAACCCCCAGATACTCGTTTCGCATCTGAGTGTTTGTAAAAACGTCCTTACAAGACAGGACAATTTTATCCTAAAGTGAGGGGAATGTTTAAAAAACAAAAAGAAAGAAAGAAAAGAAATAAACTTACATATTTATAAGGTTAAACTCCAATTTCAATAACATATATTTTTAAACGCTTCGATAATAATTAAGATTGTGTGTTTACTTGTAGACATCTATGTGAGGGCATGTACACCCAGTATAATCAAATCATGCTAAAAAATGACTTGAAGATGATACTCACCCTGGGCCTGGTGTCCACCACATACATATAACCGCAGTTCGGATTCGCCCGCCGTATCAGATCAAGCATTTGCTCGTCCTCCATGCATCTGCAAATCGACAATAAAATGAAACAGACTATGTATACACAACTGTGTACAAAGAGGAAGATATTAATTAAACAGGCTTCGGCTGTTGTAATAATGGACAGGTACGTTCGGGTAAGTACCACGAGCTTACAGAAGACGCGCGTGATGTGAAATTACAATACTTTCGTGCTTCGTGTGGTTAGTCAAGTAGCCGGGGCCACTTTATCAAAAGGTGGCAAAGCTGTTGCAAATGTCCATGTCGTTGTCAGGCAAACCACCAGCTCGCGTGCCACCATCTCACATAAAAGAAATATATTTTACGTGCATGTACCATCACAAAATAATACGAATATGCGAAAGTTGAATAATGTTTGAAAACCTTCGTCAGCGAAACACAAGCACATAGTATATATTAATACGTGAAGCAAAAAGTTTGCACCCCTTTTTACGACAATTGCGCAGACTTAAGAGTATGAAAATCCCCACAGTTATAGCTTATATAGAGGAGCGCAGAATGCTAATATTTTTTTAATTATGATAAAAAAAATACATTAAATCATTAATTATGGTCCAATTTCGACCACTGTAAGAATTAATTACGAAAATCCCAAATCCACACAGATGTTCACACATAAAAAAAAATGTAACGCGCACGTTTTCCGCTCACACGGCCCGGGACCACCGGACAGATCACCGCTGACCTTTTTTTTTTTTGGCACCGTGGGGAAAAACTTGAAAAGATATTCTGTCATCCCTGATATGTTTTATGTGGGGATTCGGTACCCACCAAAAGCTCGGAGGGCCACCTTCTGTACATTTGGAGGGCCTCCGGGATCTATGGAACGCACCGGTGTCCCTCGCTACTGCGCTTAGAGCACGCCTCGGAGAAGGGTGAACCTTCCCTGATTCCCTTGCCATCTTGTCGGCGTCCTTTTCAGTCTGTGAGCCCGAGACTACAGGACTAAGATTTTTTTTATGTGATAAGTTGCCAAGCGAGCAGACCGTTCACCCGATGTTAAGTCAATACCGCCGCCCATGGACATCTGCTACCTCTATGTTGCAGATGCGTTGACAACCTTTTGGAAATTGAGCTGATTGCCCGACAAAATGGGTCAGATTACCACTGACTCTTTTTTACTCTTTTTTAACGACCCCTGCCGGCAGCACCGCTCAACGAGAAGCCGCTCACCTGCCCGAGACCGCTCACCTGGCCGAGAAGCCGCTCACCTGGCCGAGAAGCCGCTCACCTGGCCGAGAAGCCGCTCACCTGGCCGAGAAGCCGCTAACATGGCCGAGAAGCCGCTCACCTGGCCGAGAAGCCGCTCACCTGGCCGAGAAGCCGCTCACCTGGCCGAGAAGCCGCTAACATGGCCGAGAAGCCGCTCACCTGGCCGAGAAGCCGCTCACCTGGCCGAGAAGCCGCTCACCTGGCCGAGAAGCCGCTCACCTGGCCGAGAAGCCGCTCACCTGGCCGAGAAGCCGCTCACCTGGCCGAGAAGCCGCTCACCTGGCCGAGAAGCCGCTCACCTGGCCGAGAAGCCGCTCACCTGGCCGAGAAGCCGCTTACCTGGCCGAGAAGCCGCTGGCCGAGAAGCCGCTGAGCGGCTGGCTGCAGCGCGCTATCGCCGCCCCGTTGTGGTGCAGGTAGGCCAGCACCGGGAGGCGGCCGCGCGAGCGGAAACTCGCGCTGCCCACGAGCACGGCGGTGGACGCGCGCGCCGGCACGTACACCTCGCTCGGGTACGTGTCGCACAGCTGTGTACAGAGGCTTTTCTAACTGTATCCATTTTTTTTTAATTAAATTCTAGACATTAACAATGTTATAAACGTTTAAAATCACTCGTAATTAATTAATTGAATTCATTTTAACTTATCACAAAATGTGCGTGATTTATAGGCAACTCATTTATTTTATGCGCGATCATTCATAAGTAACCCGCACACAAGTTCGTTTCAAATATATACGACGCATTTATGAATGACTACCGCATTTTCAACAAGTTCTGTTTTTTAGGGAACCTTTAGAAAAACCACCCTGTATACAGGGTGATTTCATAGACGAAGGACATATTGACAGAGCATGTGCAGAGTTTGATTCCAAATCTGAATCTGGTACGTACTTGTGACTTGTTTCTTTTTTTTTTTTTTCAAAGATTACTTTTATTTTATGGACACTAAGAAATTCCTGCCAAATACAATAAACTATTGACGAGTACTAAAACTTTTCGCTGAACGCATAATTACTAAACCGTTTATCGATGGGGTGAACACTCTTAACGGGATAAACAAACAATGTTTGAATTGATATTTTCCTGGTTATTTCTTGTCGAAATAAAATATCAATATTTTTTTTGAATTACGGAACTCTAAATTAACACTATGTCTAAAAATCCTCCTGTATAAATAAATAAATTGTTCGATATCTCCGCGACGCAGAAAATTAAGGTAAGTTCAAACGTGGTAGGGCCACGCAGCAGCCTCGGTCGTTGCACGAATGGGTACGCTCGTCCGGATAAGAACCGTCGACCACACAGAAGACCGACGTCAAGTTGATGTACAATACTTCCGCGTTACGTCCGGTGAGTGAGGTAGCCGGAGTACAATTTTCAAAAGGTTGTCAACGCATCTGCAACACTCGGGTGTAGCAGATGTCCATGGGCGGCGGTATTCACTTAACATAAGGGGAACCGCCTGCTCGCTTGGCAATTTTTCTCATAAAAAAAAATAAAAGGTGCCAAAGTATTGGCTTCGTCGGGGTCGTGTGTTCGATTCGCACACGGGACAACTATTTGTGTGGACCCCACAGGCAGTTGTCTCGTATTTGGTAGTTTGTCCGCGTGTAATTTATGTTTGTAAAACGTCCTTACAACACGGGCTAGTGTTTTTCCAAAGTAAAGGCAATGTTTTGTTAAAAAAAAATATTTTAGACACATTTTTACAATGTTCTCTATTCCCAAACTAAGCAACGCTTGTACTATGAGTACTAGATAACAGAGAAACATACTGAAATATACTTTTCTTTCGTAAGTAAACATTATTAATAAAAGTTTTCAATTTTATTTTTTTTTAAATTTTCCACATAACAAAAAAGTTCCCAACTGTGGCAGGGCAAACAACAATATATGCTGTTGCATGAAAGGGAAGTTCTATCCGGAGAAGTATTACGACCACAGAGGGCCAGAAAGTGGAAGTTTTACACTTCTGCGTTTCGTCTGGGTAGCGATGTAGCCGGGGCCCACCTTATTAAAAGGTGGCTACGCATCTCCAAGCTTACGAGTGTAGCAGAAGTCAATGAGCGGCGGTTATCACTTAACATCAGGTGAACCGCCAGCTCGTTTGCCACCTTCTCACATAAGAAAGAACATTTGCAGCCGTACCTATTTGTATAACTGATGTTACGCTTTCAGTCCTTAGACTATTAAAGCTTCATCGAACGCAGAACCGGTCGGCTAGCTAGAACCCACGGGTTTGAGGTCCTCCTCAGTGGGTAGGTCCGCGCATGTACCCATGCGTGCGTTAATTATGGCATGTCGCGTACGGGCCATCGAGGGTCGGTGCGGACCGTGACCCCGATGGCCGTTTACTGTGCCGCAGCCGTACCTCGTAATCTTTGTTGCCGTTGCACAGAACCCAGTGCTCGTTGGGGACGTTCATGCGCTGGTACTCCGTCTGTATGTCGAAGAAGTTCCACCCCGCAGACTTCGGTAGGTCGTCGGGTGTCGACTTGTAGTGGAAGCAGTACAGCTCCTCGATGTGTACTGGCAACACAACAAGTGCACGGTGACATAGCTGTCTAAACGTGCAACAAATAAACGCGTGACGTATTTTTATGTTCACCGTACATGTTAGCCTCAAACGTGTAACGTACTACCTCACTCAAGCGCCCAGGTGATTTAATCAGAACCTTAGACCTTAAGGTCGCCAGACCAAGATCCCACTAACTATTTCACCACTGATTCATCTTATTAATCATTGAGATAAAATGTCAACTCTTGTAGGTCAAATTCGACATTTATCTAAGGCAACAATTTAGTAGTATTTAGTGAGGGCATCCATCGGCTTAGTTGGCTACGATGACGCAGGTTCGAATCTCGCAGCGCCCAAAAGTTCTTCAAATTTAACCATTTATTAATCAGGTTAAACCAAGCTATTTTACAACGTTTTATTTTGAATTTTAAATTCCCACCATTTCGAACCCTTTCCAATGTTCACGATCACTGAAATAGTAACAAGAAATCAACATGTGATAGTTCACTTATCTATTACCATAAGTCATGTTTAAAGTTTATTGCTATTTATTGTTTTTATTACATTTGCTAAAAGTCTTCATCATTCAACTTAAGAATAAACTATATTATGTCATTCACTGTGACACTGAAACAGATGAGTCTTATGATCGGAATGCCAAAGTTTATTTAAATTATTTAGCCGATATTCGTAAGAAAGGTTGACTGGGTTCCTACTGGATCCAGTCCTCCCTTTTGTCCAGTTCAACGGTAAAGGTCAAATTTATTCCGTCACCTGGTTGACTGAGCCTCAACAGGGTCTGGTGCATTTCGTGACAGTCCCTCTCCCGGGGGATGACGAAGAACACCGACTGGAAGGTCTTGGTGCGCACCAGGAGCGGTGAGCCGGTGGTGGTGATGGGAAGACGCTCCACTGACGAGATGTGCATCAGGAGAATCTGATGGAAAGGTAATGAAAGTGATATAATTGATCGCAATTACTAAGAGCCGTGATAGCTGATTGTCCGGGCACTCGCTTTCAATTCAGTATACTCGAGCAATCTGAGTTCGATCCCCGGTGCCGGCACCAATGAAATGGTTAATTTTACGTGCTGAAATATCACGTGCTCAGCGGTGAAGGAAAACCTCGTGAGCAAACCTGTATATTTTCGAAATATTAACAAAAAAAACTATTTCGAAGATATGTGAAGTCCGCCAATCCGCAGTGGAGCCGCGTGATGGACTACGCCTTGATACCCTCTGTACAGAAGAGGCCTTGCCCAGCAGTAGGACATTTATGGGCTGTTACTTTTTTACTATTCTAAGTAATTATTTTTTTACATGTAATAAAACATTGTTTATGGCTAAATTAATATTTTTATACAAGATTATAAAGAAAACGAAGCAAAGAAAAAGAAGAAAAGAAGCAAAACTTGTGCTATATTTGTAAGATAACTCATAAAGATACTTAAACATACATTTCTTTTGATAATAAATACAAATTATATATATTTAACACCCTTGAATTCTACCAGTGAGCATCGAGTACATCTGATGCAAGAGACAGGTTCACTGTCAATGTGTTCGTTTAAAAGTTAACAATAACCAGTGATCAATTTTTTTTTATTTTAAATTAAGAATTTAATAAAAGAAGAATTTAATTTAAGAAAACAAGTTAATTTATGTCTTAATTCCCGAAGTTTCCAACCCTTTACAGCGTTCATGGTCACGGGGACAGACTGAGGTGTTGGAAGTCTGAATGTCATTGCAGAACGCAGATCATGCTAATATTATCTTATCTTGAAGTAGTGGTTTGTTTGGGCCTAGATTTAATTTTATTAATAATAGGAGCCCAAGCTAATGGTAGAACCCTACTTTCTTCTCTATTGAAATTTGGGTTTTTTACTTGTCTTTTTTTATCAAGGCTAGAAATTATTTATAAAGTTTGGGTTAAGATGACGAAACTTGCCATATTGGTTCCTCACTCACCCAAGTCTCTTTCCTCATCTCATGGTCGACGAATATGAGGTGCGTCGTTGCGAAGTACAGCGTGCCTTTTGACGGATTCCGTACGTTGTATTTGTCCAAGAGTTGCACATTCTCCAACTGAAACCACAAAATTAATTTATTAGAGATGTCTTTATACGCGGGTATGAAACTAAATACGAAAACCTAGTACAAAAGATACTCGTAATCTTAATTTAGAAACGACACGACACAATTAAAATAATAAACACACAATTTATACACAAACACCAAGTTAACATGGATGCACTTATATCCGATACAGTTCTGAGGCCTTATGAACATTTATCCCAAATTTTAATTGTGATCGTTTTAAGTTGATGAATAACAGTTTTTATGAATTTAATATATAAGTACATATTAATAATGTTTTTGTTTAAGTTTTACAACAATTTTATCACATTTTAATAGTTTAACTGCATGAACGGCGTCCCACACTTTACTCCAATTTAAGAAAAACTGTGTTCAAGTTTATAAATTATCCAAAAATCAAGAACATGTTGTTAAGAAACGAAAAATCAACAGACAACAGAAAACACCATAACACTTTATTAAATTTTAAAGGAATGGTCATTACTAAAAAGCTTATATTAAATCTCAAGTATCGCCTCCCTAATTATCCATAACATATTGCACAAAATATTACATAACATATTATATAGTGAATTAATAACAAAGATCAATATAACTTTCACTTCTTTTTATTAAAAAGTAGCTTCTTCCTATCATAGACACCTTTCCCTGTTTCCTTGATAACATCCTCTGCGATCGTTTTCAACGGATGAATAAGCTGGTCTGCCTGAGAAAGAAGGTCCACTCGACGATGATTTAAGGCATCCAAAGCGCGGCCCACGCAACCCTCCACGATATCATCAGCCTTCACCAACGCGGCACACATCTTCGCCGCTTCCGTAGCGGAGTGGTTGCCGCCTTCACTGAACAGCTTCAAATGTGATACGAAGCGGATGTTCGAGATCCTCGCAATTTGGACGCGTTGCCCGATAAGCTTCTTGGTCGACTCCACAATAGAGACTGAGCTCTCCTCGAAAAGACGGCGATGGTTGGCCAAGCGGGTCGCGTAACTCATCATTTTCAATCTCTTCACCTCGTCATCAACTGAGGTTTCCTTGAGTTCATCCATACCCGTTCGAATCCTCTCAGCCCATTCCCTAATAGGATACAGCCCAGGAGTGTCAAATGTTAACAATTGTGATACTTCCGTTGGCAAAGCAGTGGCCAGCTCATTGATTGCACCCAAATGAGACTCGAAACAATTTTCGTGGTTCCGTAACTGCGCAAGGCGTAAATCTCGCGCCACCGCTATACGCTCTTTGCGAACTTCTAATGACAAAGTTTTAAACGAGTGCCGCTTCTTCAATGGAACAGATCTTTCATCGATCCACGAACGCACTTGATTTTCCAGTTTCTCCGAAAGTAAAGGCAAACTGTTGCGGAAAGATTCGAGAAAACCGTTCCTCCAATTTTTGAGAGCAATCTCTTCGACTTCCGTTTGAAATATATCACGTGCTATTGATGTCTGAAGCCTCATATTCAAAGTGTGAATACGAGGGTGCGTCTCCCGAACGCTTCCCTCGCCTTCATCTTCGGCTGATCCGTAACTTGCTATAGGATATTTGCTTATGAATAAGTCAAATTCCGCCTGTAGAATATTCGTTAGCGGTTCACGTAGCTTGATAAACTCCTCCAGTCGGCTCATTTCAATGTCACCGTGCTGCACATATTCTTCAGACTTTCGTGTAAGCAACACATCCAACGCCTCGTAATGTTGCTGCAATTTGTCTACGTCACTCGCCGTCATTAACTGTTCCAAAGCGATGTTAAACGGGACATCGCTGGCTTGCTCCACTGAATCGTGCCTCGTTGCCAGATCTTCGACGGCAGCCATTGTAAGCTTTTGAGCGAGCGCAAGTCGAATCATATGAGCATCCCAGAGGTGGCTTGCCTCATGGAGGAGTGTGTAGGTATCTTTGAGCTGGTTCCCCACCGCCAATAAACTCTTCTGCATCATTTTAATACAGTCAACCAATTCAGATAAATCACGATTAATAGTCATTGCGCTTTGGAAATTAACTTCCGACAGGCGGCTAAATGACTTCGTAAGTTTTCTCTCCAAAATGCTTATTTCATTCGCGCAACAAATTTGCTTCTGTATATAACTCTCGACACCAATCTGTTTATGTAACTCACTCAGTTCTTTTAGAAATGCCTCATATGTATTTGTTATTGCGTTCCTATATTCCTCTGAAAACCTATTAATACACTCATCTAACTCCACAGTATCGGTTAGAGATAGTTTAGCCGAAGAAATGGCTTTAATCGATTCCTTAGCGCTCTTCGACCGCTTGTTAATGTTGATTTCTTTTTTATCACATTGTATAGCGCTGCGTCCACGATTATTTATAACGACCCCAAGACGTAACTGATTAATGTACGAACGAGCTTTTATCTGGCTCTGATTTGCTTTCGCACGCAGTTGCTCTTCCAGTTCGTTGTACGCCGCGCAATTACTCAACAGCTGCTTATTGATTTCGTAGATTTTTTCATCGAACTTTCGGAAGAGTTCCTTTGGAGGTTCGTGGTGTACAGCCACGAGGCGTCCAAAGTGATCGTGAAGGACTTTCCGCAGTCCGTTGGCGCGTTCGTTTTCCAATCGCAGCGCCTCCTCTTTGAAATCACTTATTTCTTGAAGCCTTTCGGAAATTGCGCTCTCAATCTTATTTAAAACGTCGTTGTGATTCTCGGCCGGTGGAGCACCTTCGATCAAATCCTGTTCCGCTATGACGCAATCAATTTCGTGTTGGTTGTTATTGATTTCACAGAGCAGGTTTTCAGCCAGGATGCGGACTTTGGATTCGATTTCTTCGTTAACACCTGACGTGGCTTCTTGCAGGTCCTTGAGAACTTTAAAATGATCGTCTTCTCTTTTCTTCAGGTACTTGGCAAGAATGGACCCTCCTTTTCTAGGACTCCAGTGATAAGGTAATACAGACACAGCGGAAGCGTCATCTGAGCAACCCGACATCAGATAATTCTGTTTTGTTTTTTTATAACACGGGCAATTGAATTTTTCTTTAGTCGACATATTTGTAAAAGATAAAAAAATTATAAATTAATTAATTTATTGACAATACAGTCCTGTCGGACAACACAACAATGACATACATACTTTTAAATTAATTTATTGAATGCGTTCGGAATATTATTGACCGCGTTCCGTTTTAAATAAAATACTAGAAAGAAAAAAAATCTTAAATTAAACCGGTCTTTGTATTATTCTGTAGGTTTTCTAGGTAAATAAAATACTGAAACAAAGCGAAAACCCTAAATTGCTAAATAACGAAACTATTAAGTCTTCTTAAAAGCCGTAACTTAAGAAATACAAATAAAATAGAAACTACTATACTGTTAGTCTATCACCTATTAAAACGGTTAAAAGGTATATTATATTTGCAAATTATTTAGTTTCACAGAATTCTTTTTGGCCTTTTGAATTTTTTTTTTATACTCTAAATAATTTAAATTTACAATGAAATAGCATTTACAAAATATGCGGTGACATCATAAAATAAAACACAAATGTAATAAAACAATCAATGATAATTTTATACCGTTGTGTTAACTGTAAACTTTCACCATGCATAAATATTTACATTCATTTCTAGATGGGCTAAAATTGAAACACGTATTTACGTCATTTTTGACGATAAGAACAGTTACGGAGCATGGCGGAGAGCACTCGACAACTCTAGAAGAGGAAAAACCTGACCTGAAAAGTGGGGCATAATGATTGCAAAAATATCGGTTAAAAAAACGTTAACAAGACATAGAGTAACTGCAATTAACAGTTAGTGGTTGTAGGTCACGTAAAAAGCTATTTTATTATCAAAGAGGCAAGTAAGAAAGCGGTTTCCTCATCATCAAGTGTCTACCGCCGCCCATAGAAATCTGTGGGTTTGGAATCACGTATTTGTCGCGTTTAATGTTTAACTCCAGTTCCCGATGTTTGTGACCCGTTTTAGCGTTCATGGTCACGGGACAGACAATGCGAAAAATAATTAAAAATAGTTTCATTTATAAATAGTACTAACCCAGCTTACATGCACATCATAACCTAGACTACAGAGAGTTGTATCAAAGCTGCCAAGTAATCTAAATTATTTGAAAAACTAAAAAAAAACTTAAAATATTTAATTTGAAATATGGAAATAATCTAAAATATTTTAACGATTATAGGAAGGTTGAATATTGCTTAAACCTTCGTCAGCGAAACACTAGCTCATACATAAAATTAATTACGAAAATCCCAAATCCACATACGAGGCAGAGGTTCAACAAACACAGCTTTAAATCCAACCTAACTTAGGGTTTTCGCATGAATATTTTTAACATACCCTTATTCGTATGTTTCACGTCCCCTAAGCGCAGTGACGCCCGGTTTCTGAAACACTGATCATCGTAGAAGTTAACTAATCAGCTGTCAAATGGCTTTTCAAATGTCATTTGAGTTGCCAAAACGATGGTGAAACTTTGTGAATTGATCAGAATGATCATCTTAATGATCGGAATGATTAGTTAATTTTTACGATGATCAGTGTTTCAGAAATCGGACGTGAGTGTAGTTTTTTGACCTCAATGTCGCGGACCTCGATGTCGCGACGAGCTATAATAATTATCTCTTATCTGTATATTAACCTATATCATAACCTAATATACCTATATACAACGTAATCGCCATCATCCTGTCCGACCATCCATGTTGTTCGTAGCTAGGTATTTGACGGTCATATGGCCTTACGCCAACGCTCCTTGGGAATGAACACCCGGATCCGGAAGAATTATCTATGGGCCACATATACACTTGCCCTATGTGGGTGTCGAACCCGCCACATGATGTGTTCAGGGATAATAAAGTATCAGCCTGTACATATCCCACTGCTGGGCAAAGGCCGTACAGAGGGTATCAGGGCATAGTCCACCACGCGGCTCCACTGCGGATTGGTGGGCAGGGATAGGGACATTCAAAAAACCGGCCGAGTGCGACTATCACAGTTCATGAGATACAGCCTGGTGATAGACGGACAGACAGACTGATAGCGGAGTCTTGGTAATAGGTTCCCGTTTTACCCTTTGGGTACGGAACCTTAAATACACAATCCACGGTCAGGTAGCCATGAAAACTGGTTTGATTGTTTGATTCTGTTTAAAGAAAATTATGCAAGGTTGCTTCACTAATGCCCTTCACGATTAACACTTCATCGATCTACCCACGCCATCGCGTGAGATCTCAAATCGCATTATGGAAAAGACGATGAGCTACGTGCTCATTTATTGTCGACGTATTATTATCCACCAAGCGCTCTGGAGCTTTAAATAATTTACATAATATATACAATACATGAATATAATGTGCGTATCAAAACGATATAATATAAAATTAGAAGTAGCGATCTTCATCCATATATTTGTTTGTAATAGTAATTTCATTAAAATTGTAAAAATTACATTTTCATCGATAATTCGTTATTATAATAAGTATATAAGAGATAATATAAATATTAATAATGATAATATGATAATTAAAATGAGAATGACGGCAATTTAAACATGTTTTGTAAGTGCCACGGCCTTCTGCATTTAATCTGGTGAGTAAAGCAGCCGGGGGACACTTAAATAAAAAGGTGGCAACGCATCTGCAACACTACGGGTATTGCAAATGTCAATGGGGGGCGGTTATCAGTTAACATCAGGTGGACCGCCAGCGGAAATTTTGATGCAGAAATGTGGAAGCGTGTATAAGCGTTCCGACTGGTAAATGAGGTAATGTGAAACGCATCTGCGACCACTTTGGTGTTGTGCAAGCCCATGAGCGACTGTAATCACTTTAGGCTAGGGCCTAGGATAATGTCGAAGAATTAAGAACATATAATAATGACAAGAATGTGTGGAAATGACTCGTGCTCTGCACTTGCAAGTCTAGAGGTTTCTACTGTTTTTATAGAAGGTACAAGTCTAGTTTAGTGAGCCGGTGGTAATTTTTTGACGTAATGAACGTCAAACAAGCTTAAATTTAGCCTTTAATAATATTTATATTTGAATTAAATATGTTTTGACTTTCTCTTCGCGTTCTCGCCAATATTCAAATATGACAAAATACAGCGGTAATAAAAACTAAGTAGTCCTCACTGAAACATGCTAAAGAACTTTGCTATGACGAAAAGCGTGACTCCAGCAATCACAGACATCAAAACGCCGCGGCCGTAGAGCAATTCCAGAACAATATCCGGAATTAGCAACTTCCGTGCGCGCCTTGCGCCGTGAATGGCGCTCTACGACGCCGAACTGCCGCGTAACTGGAAAACGCTACGCGGTCCGTTATTTGGGGTTGCTACGCTCAGCGCTTCGTGCACTACGATCTACTACACAAACACTCGGTTTCTGAAACACTGAACATCGCAGACGTTAACTAGTCAGCTGTCAAATGTCATTTGAGTTGCAAAAGGATTGTTACACTCTTTGAATTGATCATTCTGGTCATTAAGATCATTCTGATTATTTAGCTAACTCCTGCGATGATCTGCGATTCAGAAACCGGACGTAAAAGTTGAGTTCTTACTTGATTATTTAAATCATTTATGATGATTATTAACTCCTCACTCGCACGCTTAAGCATATGGAAGTTTAATAGTACAGAAAGAAACAATCAGTTTTTTTCTATGGAAAAAGGAGGCAAACGAGCAAGCGGATCACCTGATGGTAAGCGATCACAGCCGCCCAATGATATCTGCGTCATCGGAGGAGTGGTAACTACGTTGCCGGCATTTGGGAAGAAGTAGGCTCTTTTCTTGAAGTTCCCTATATCGTATCGGTCTAGAAATAGCACTGGCGACAACAGGTTCCTAAACTAAAGTAACAGCCTATACGTGGTCCCACTGCTGGGCAAAGGCCTCCTCTATACAGAGGGTATCAGGGCATAGTCCACCACGCGACCCCACTGCGGATTGGCGGACATGGGGGGGGAAAAAAAGAGAGAAGGGAGGAAGGTTAAACTTCGAAATATATATTTTTTTTGTTATTATTTCGAAAATATGGAGGTTTCCTCACGATGTTTTCCTTCACTGCGGAGCACGTGATAAGTCGACCCATTGGTGCCGGCTGCGGGGATCGAACTCAGCGAGTATATTGAATTAAAGGCGAGCGCCCGGACTTCACATATCTTCGAAATATATATATTTTTTTGTTATTATTTCGGGTGGTATCATCCGTGCTCGTAGTGCGAGGAGGTATGTCAGCTATATCAGAATATCAAGATCAAAAACTTGGAATGTTTGTTTGTTGGTTATAAAGCTGTTATTGATTTAAACAATAAATGTATTTGAAAAACGTATAAAGACAATCGTTCTTTGAGAAATGGCTGGGGAGATTCAAGATGCATTTCACCCTGAAAAGGTAAGCAAAGAAGTGCTTTTTCGACTGCCGATAGAATTTTAGAATATATAAGACGATATGAAATATTTTACTTTCTTTGACTTATTTATGGCGAGTAGTCACTAAACGCCTGTAGCCGGAATAAAGCATCGGTGTATACGTCCCTCACACTATTGACACATTACTGGCCTGAATTTAGGTCATTCTATCATAATGGGCATACTTTTACATCGATATGTTTGGAAGCGTGTTCCGCGTCAATTCGTTCGTGTTAAGCGTGTTCGTTTTCCTCGATACATGTTCAAGATTGGTACTGGAATATTTTTTGAAGCACGCAATTATTTGCCAGAGAGACAGTTCACTAGTAATTGAATTCATAACCTAACTACCCCATCCAGAAACACTGGGTGGAGATAGTCTTAGGTTTGAAAATAGTAAATTAATACAGCAGATTGTGCATATAACTATTAACGAAATTTTAGCTCTACTGACAATATATGTATACCATCTATATCAATACACGAAACCGGGAGTTAGTCTATGGATTTTTTAAATCAGCTATTTAATTAGCCAGTCTACCGTCTAGTTGTAGCTCGC